CAGTTACAGGGCCCCTTTACAGTGGTAATTTCACAATGAGGGCCTTTCCTTTTAATTTCCTTTACTTAACAAACTTCAGATCTGTCAGAACCGGTAGATGTTTACAGTGATTGGATTGATGCTTGTGAAGCAGCTAACCAGTAGCAACAGTCTTATTTTTGCCGCGTAATCCCACAATCTCGTGGCTTCTGTTGCCATCCCTTCACGTCCTTCGCTGTCGAGTCTCCCTAATCACACCTTGAAGAGATTGGTGCATATCGAAGGATGCTCTGAAATTAATACAACTTGTAACAGAGGCTCCATTTCATCATCAACTAATGTTATGGGACCACAGCTGCTAAAATGTCCATTACATCTGGGCAGAAGTATTTGTCTAGTAGTGGTTTTATTTTTTCCCCCCCATTTTTTTTTTTTTTGTACAAAACCACAAGTCAAAGATTTGGTGGGTTTTTTTTTTTAATTTTTTTTTTTTTTAAATCTATTTTTTTTCCCAAAAGTTTGCCAGCAATCAGGGAAACAAAATTTAAAATATTTATACACTTTTCTTCAGATTTTATGAAACCCGTTTCTCCCTGTGTTCAAGCACATAGTAGAACATTGAATAAGTAAAGCCATTAACTAGGAGAATATTTATCAAGAATCTGGTTAAAAATGTAGATTCATTCGTTGCTCTTTATCATTACAACTGTTTTTATCCTGCTTTATGTAATGTAGACCCCTTAACAATCTAAAGCCTATATAGCGCTCCAGTGGTCCTTGCTCTATGATCACAATAATTCTAAGGAACCTGTAGTTTAGCAGAGAATTAATTTAACGGGGATATTGCTCAGAGGTGGCAGGTGAGTGCAAATCAGATGCTTGGCTTCTCGTCTGTAAAATTCTGTTAACTAGATAGAGATCTGCTCACTATAGCTTTCATTCTTGGAAATGTGAGCCAGTTTGAGAGCACTGGATGCCCAAGTTTGTATCTCCAAAAATATGATTTGATCTTGTGTACACAGTGACTGCATAGAATTAAGCAGTTTGCATATTTTTGTAAATACGTATTATAACATGACCTCTTTTGAAAACCAATATTGTGTTTGTGTATCTCTAAGGGGAATTCAGAATGTTCAAAAATGTGTTTTGTGGTTTTATATTTTATTTATGAATTTTCTAGCTATGGGGATTGGGGGATTTCTAGACCATAAAGGGAAATTGTCACTAGCACCACTACAAATTAATGTAGTGGTTCTGGTGTCTGTAGTCTGTCGCTGCAGGCTTTTCAGTGTAAACAGGGGGTGGGGGGATTGCGTTGCTGTGACCTAAATAGTTTTAATTCTAGTGTCAGGAATAAATGTTTATATTTCTAAAACTATAGTGTTAATTTTTAATGAAAGTAAATGTTTGTATTATGTGTCATATGCATGTAGTTGAATAATCTCGGACAGGGTTATCTACTGAAGTAAGAATTGAAAGTTTATTGCAAACATAAGGCCATAGTTGACTTAGAGAATTTTCCATTTCAGCTACCTTTTGTCTTGCATTTGAAAATCATTTTGAATTCTCACTTTTTAGTGAATAAGCCTGTAAATTGTGAATGGCAAGATGTCTAGATGGCCAGTTCAAAAGAAAGCTAACAATGTAATTGGTTAGTTTAGCACAATTTAATTGAACATTTTGCGTTTTCCTGCATTATGTCACCCACCCCTCTTACATTTTGAGAACAGAGTAACGGTAGTGGCAGAAATTGTGCAGTCCAAAGTAGAGCTCCATCCCATAATAAAGACGATGATTTGCACATAAACTTAAGTGTCTAATTACTATGTTTTCAGTCCGTAGGATAAATTAAAAACAAAAAAAAAAACAGCAATGGTTTAGTAGGGTGCAAAAAAAGGGTGTAGAGACCATATTATATAAGTAGCAAGCTGGGGAAGTGTATATCTGGAATGCCTGTACACCAAGTATGTCAAACTCAAAAGCTAGCACGGGGCCAAATAAACAAACAAGGTTTACGTTTGTGGGTTTCGTAGAAACTTAGGTTTATTTTGAAAAGTACAGTATAAAAAAAACTGCATCCCCCTCTACTAAACTCTGGCCCTTGTTTTAAAATTCCCACATTAGCCGACAAGCAGACTCCACTAACATTGCCATGCCAGTATATGACTCCGGAGTCCCGCCTCTGGTATAACCCCAATGGTGCCATCCGCACCCTCCGCCGAAGTGGATCCTCCCACTACTCCTTGACCCCTGTGAAGGTGGAGCACGTCGGAATGTGACGTTACGTGCCTCCGTGGTCCTCCACTGTCCAGCTGCAGCCATCGCAACACTGACTGACACACGCTCACTGACGGACACACATTCTTGCGTACACTCGTATCATTTTATTTTTTGTTGCCTGGGGTCCAGTGGGGATCTTCTATCGGGAGCTCATTCTTCCTGCGTCCAGTTTCGTGGTGCCAGAATGACTTCATATTCCGGCATCACTACAGTGGGTGCCAGAGACCTCTCCTCCCCTGCTGGTACCAGGTAAATTTTAGCAGAGTAGGCACCTGCAATGTGGGGAGAGCAGGTGCCGACTCTGTTCTAGTAAGCATATCAAACTCGGGGTTTGCTGGGCCGCAAAAATATTAATTGTGGGGTGCGGGTTTGACATGTTTGCTGTACACAATATACCGATCTCAAGACACCAGTGCCAGTTTTTGTTTGTACTATTTTTGCCCACTTCTTGCTATCTGATGCTGGCTATCAGGAGTCTGGGAATGGGATGGGGGGGCAGACAAAGGGACACTTGGGGTTATTCGTTGAATTCCAGTTATTCACCAATCCAAACAGGGGAAAAAACTAAACCAGCAAAAGGTTGTGACTATAGCAGAGTTGGAGGGTTTATTTTTTCTTCAAGATTAGTGTTTCCATGTGGATTTAGGTTTTCTCTTAATTACTGTGTAGTCCACAGGCTCCAATGTATGGCCTTGCCACTTGCCTGCAGGAGGATTCCCCCACATCCACTCCCCACCCCTCAAAATACCTTTGTAATTGCAAACTACAGATTTTATGTGATCGTGGCATCATTTAAGCCCAGAGTTTAGTATTTGATCAGACATGTCAGGTGAATTACGGGTTAATATGGGTATTTTTTTTTTTTAAATCCGGAAATTAAGAGCTAATTCTTCTGGGGCTGTTTTACACCTGATTTTATATATAGTTATGCACAGAACAAAGCAAAATTCTTAGACACACTCCACTGCCCATATTCAAAATAAACTGTTTAGTAGATATACCTCAAGTTATAATTGCATGCATTAATTCTGATTTATTCCCTCCCCCCCCCCGCATTGTGGGTATATCTAAAAACAGATTGCAAAATCTGCAGGTCTCTTGTCTGCAATCCCTCCTGTTCTAACCCCATCCCACACATTCTGTAACTCCAATCACAAACTCCCAATGCAGCTCCATAAGAAGTCTTTGCAAAGCAGATGCTCTGGACAGATGCTGACTTTAGCTCACCTGAGCTAACCAGACCATAACAGGACCTGTCGTCTAATTGACAGCCTGGCGATGTAACAATGTTAATTTATAAGAGTGACACACAAAGCTTTTCAGCCAGCTAAATTGCTTTAGGGGTCTGGATTGTCCCTTTAAATTGGATCTGAAGAGGCACCTCCAAGCTAGCCTCAATGCCACCGCTTCAAATGAAGTCCTAGGTAACAAAAACCTAAAGGCTTAAATGATGGCTGACTTGGGGTTTGTAAAAAGAGGTGAGCCTTTCAGGCAATTTGTCCAACACCATTATTATTTTTTTCACATCATAGGCAGTGGGGTAAGGGTTGATGTGCTCCCACCACTAGGTGAGTTAAATTTAAAGTGGAACTGTCAATAACCCCCAAGGATTACTGATATTCTGTTTACTTTTGTGATGTCTGATCGCATAGAGAAATTATTAGCACAAGTTATAGATGGTTTTCAATGTTTTCTTCGATGGTGTAATTTCCTGCTCTGAGAATATTTAATACTAGCAGTTATTTACTGACTTCTCGGGAACTCAACGTCAGTTTATTTTCAATCTTGCCTATTTTGGTCTAAAATTTGACATTTAAAAAAATAAAATAAAAATAGATTCCTGACCATTCCCACTCTAGTGAATATCCCTGCCATTGATGATTCTTGAGCTTAGTCGTTGCTACCTCCCTAGCATAACTTGCCGATTCCCTCCTTGAATTCTCTGTGACTTGGTTGAGTTTTTTTTTTTTGTTTTGGATTTTCACGCGCTCCCCTGCTAGTAATGTTTTGTTACCAGAATTGATGAGTGCATAATGTCTAGGGCAGTGATGGCAAACCTTTTTGAGCCCGAGTGCCCAAACCGTAATACATGCCAATTTCTTTCCCCTCAAAGTGCCAAAACGGCAATTAAACCTGAATACTGAGGTTTAAGTTTAGAAAAAACAACTCATACAGTTTTCCGAACTAATTAACATCTCTGTGTGTACTTAGCAGTCTGTCTGTATTTAGCAGACTGCTGAATACACACACAGACTGCTGAGTACACACACACACACACACACTGCTGAGTGTACACACACAGACAGACTGCTGAGTGTACACACACTGCATTGAGGGGTACATTGTATGTGTTTGTGTGTGTGTGTGTGAGTTCCCCCCCATCTCTCCCACTCAGTTTCCCCCCCATATCTCTCTCTCACTCAGTTTCTCCCCATATCTCTCTCCCTCAGTTATCTCTCCCTCAGGTCCTCCCCCTTGAGCTCCTACCTTGTGGCGTGGCCGAGCGCACCGCGGAGCTCAGTTTCCTGTACCCGGCTGACAGGAAGTGCTCTCTCTGTGAGCACTTCAATTCCGTCCGCCCGGGTACAGGAAACATAAGTTCCTGTACCGCGGTGCGCTCGGCCATGCTACACAGAGTGCCTGGCAGGAGGGAGCACTGTGCGCTATGCGCTCACCTCCTGCCGGTCACTCCGGCTATGCGCCCGCCGGGCGGGTGCGCCTTAAGGCAGCCACTTGTGCCGCCTTATGGATGCGCCGGCGGAGCGCACCCTCCCTCCGGCGACCTATGGCCGCGTGCCCACAGGGGGGGCTCGGTGTGCCACCTGTGGCACGCGTGCCATAGGTTCGCCATCACTGGTCTAGGGGATCTGATGGGTTATCAAAGGGATCGTAACTATTTAATGTCCACATTTAAGAAGATACATGGCTTTACTTCTACATATTTTCCAGTTTGGGATTCTCCATGCCTACGACCTTTCAATCCATAATACTAGCCAGTATCTAGTACTGGCTAACTGGGGTACCAAAATATTTTGGAAACTGCATTTAGGGGCCAACGTTAGCCATCACTGATCCAGGATTCGGACACCAAATATATGCCTGCAAATCTTCAGCCTGAGAGTATTTATTTAATGCGCTTCATTCTCTTTGTCAGAATTAGAGAATTTAAGTGGCTCAGTTACTTTTGAGTTTTTTTGTTTTATAAAGTTTCTCATATCCCGCCAGCTTTTGAGACTGAACATACTTATGGCACCTTATTGCACATGCGCAAGTTTTTATATGGAAAGTCTTGTGGGATCCTCTCTGGTATACTCTAGAACAGGGGTCCTCAAACTGTGGCCATCCAGATGTTGCTGAACTATAACTCCCATAATTCTCTGGCTATCTATGTAATTCAAAGAATCATGGGAGTTGTAGTTCAGCAACAGTTGGAGGGCTACAGTTTGAGTACCCCTGCTCTAGAATATAGTCGTGACAACAGCCTCTGGCACATGAACTCGCAAGGACCTATAGGAGATGGCTTAATGTAGATCACCCTATCTGCTCAGCCTTTTATAGGCAAGCAGACATGCCACCTTGTTGAATATCCCAGACACATCACAAGTGATTTGTGCTTCTTTGAGGTTAATTGTAATGAATTCAGTTTTTTTTGTTTTGTCCCAACAGTTGCTGACTTTAAGTGGGTTTTCAGAATGCTTTGTTGAAGTTTGTTTTTTGCAGAGTATTAGAAATTGTGTGTGTGTGTGTGTGTGTGTGGCGGGGGTTTTTGCTTTACATCAAGGCGTTTTATTGTGGGAATATTTGCACTAAAGTAGAACACAATCTGTTCTGTTACTGATTAATGTATTGTTTGTATTAAATCAGAGATTGTGTGACTTGGGTGTTTCTGATTGTAGAACTAAACTTTACCTTTTTATCTGTAGCAATTCACCTTTTACTTACCTTTCTGTGTCACTAATGTTCTTGCAGTAGGATGCATCGGGGATTATGTATAAGAAATGTCTCTTTCCCTTCATTTTAGGCTCTTTTTCATCACTTTTCCTGTTTGCCTATTTTAATATCTCATCACCAAACTTCTTCTTTTTGTGCCTCATCGGTCACTTTATTAACGTGTACCATTTTTTTTTAATTTTTTTTTTCAAATTTGTCACTTTCAGAAAGAGATGCAAAACTCCTAAATTTTTTTTAAATTTTTTTTTTTGGGACCGGTAAACAACTTTCACATTCTTCCGTTTTATTTTATAAAAAATCCTTCAAACCGCAAATGTATCTTTTTTTTTTTTTTACAAGTAGTATTACTCATTTGGTGGGTGAAGTAGCAGATTAATTAAAAATTTAAATTAAAAAAAAGTGTGCACAAATATATAATTTTGAAATATTCCCGCAGTGTGTTTATCACTTCTGTCCTAAGCTGATGAAGCCTTGCGCTTGACAGACCTTTTGGAATACAAAGTCAGCAGTATGATTGTCAGAGAGCAGCAGTATCTAGCGTGTGGATTAGTGACACTCGTATATTAGGGACAATGTGTGCTATTAAATAGAAATGACACCGTGAGTCTTCGGGATGATTAAAGCTGTTGACAGTTTTATTTCCCCCCACCCCCACGTTGTTTGGTCGAGATGCAGATGGATGTCAGGCTACTGGAAAGTAAGTGACACTTGGTGGAGACTCTGATGTGGAACCTGTGGCAGGGTAGGCCTTTGATGGGTGATGAGCCCATGGTGGCACTCTGTGTTTCTGGGTTAGGGTGGGCCATGCAAGAGTTTAAGGCCCTGATGTGGAGCTTGACATGGTGGGCTGTTTGAAGATGGGAGGCCCAAGATTTGCGGCAGTCACAAGGCAGACCACTGGAGGTTGAGAAAACATCAGTCCCTGATGTGGAGCTATAGTATGGTGGCTATCAGGAGGGTAAGCAGCCCAATCCAGTGTTTTCTCTAATTCCCCTTTTATCCTGTGTATCGCACATAGACTATCTCAATAATTATCATTATGTAACATATAACACAAAATGAGTGTGTGTGCTTGGGGGGAGGAATAGGAGAATGGATGGTGTCAGGCAGGCAGTGGAAGATGGACTAAGCAATGATCCATTTGGCAGCTTTCCATGTATTTCTTTGGGTGGTCTCCTCCTGATTTCAGTAGGGTTGTCCATGGTCTAAACATAACTGCCTTTTGATAAAAATTGTATTTATAAGTATCAGGAGTTGGGGGGGGGGTACATTATCTTACCACTCATTGGAGACCCTAAACTTCTGTCTTTCTTGACCCCTCAGAGCAAGCTTCAGGAATTTTGTTTAGAAATGGTAAAGTTCACACAAACATTCCATCACTCATTCATGCAGGTAGCCATTGCTGCGATAAGCCATAAGTAAGTAAAGCAATAGGGTTTTTCGATAAATCCGTAATTGTGAAGAATCATAAAGCTATTGCAAATTCCAAAATATCTAAACTGTTTTTCTAGCTATGCAATATTGGCTTAAAACTGCCAATCCTTGTCTCTACAACTCCCAGTTAATTCTTCTGGAGTACGATCTAATGATTTTAGTTTGGATAAAGGTGTCCGGTGGACTTTTCTTCTCGTGGTGTTCTGACGACGCGCTACGCCTGGTGGCGCATGGTAATACCTTATTCCCAAATTACACACAATCCCAGAACTCCCGTGTTTATTACAGAAACATCACCTCAGACACATGTTAGAAATATATATATATAGAAATATATTTGCGTTTGTTTCCTTGACAGAGCGGACGTGAAATGTTTTCCTTTATACTGCAGTGACAGGAGCGAGAAAGGACTGTGCACAATGCTAAACCTCAGGCTGCAGAACATCGCACAGAGCATGTAAACTAATACCTGTGCAGAGCATTGCTCTCTCAAGCACTCCCCAACCAGATATCTACAGAATGTCCTTCCTTTATTTGATTTCTACATGAGCTTACTCTGTAACACAATACGTTATCCCCCTCAACCCAAGAGCGTCCCATACCTGCCTTGGTTCTGCAGAAATCCCCTCTCTGGCTAATTTTTCCTCAGGATTCTAAATCAACACTTTACATCAGAACTTCTCTCTAGTTGGGTTCTATGGTGTAATGGTCTGCAGGTTTTTAGATGTGCATGTTGAGATGACGGCAAGCTTGACTATAGAGAAACTGGTGATTAGCGTTACCAGTGCCCGGGGGAGGCATTGTTCTGCCAGATGGGATGGGTGAACATGCATGAACCTGGATTCTGGAAGAGGATTATTCACCTCCCAAAAATTCTTCCCTGGTTAAGGTCCTTTTCACTTTTGGTTAAATTTTTAAATTGCCAATGTTTGGTCAAAATATAACTGCATTGAAAAAATAAACAAATTCATTCATTTTTTTTCAACATGGTTATTTTGGCATAATTTACCATAATCCACTTTTTACACGGTTGTTTAATAAAGTGAGAATTTAAAGGTCAAAACAGCTCAACTATTAAAAAAAAAAAAAATCACCTTTGTTTCCAATTTCCACTTTCAATTCTCACTGTAGTAAATAACCTTGTATTGACTAACCCCTTGTGATAGATTAAAAAAAAAAACAACAAAAAAAACCGCTTATAGCACCGTTGCATATGTTGGGTCAAAGACATTGCATGTAATGGATACGTGTAATAAATATGTAGATGTACCAGCATATATGGTGAATATTCACCTCTTCACGTATAATTGTTTCATTGGTGGAAGTTTCAGCCAATCAGTTTCCTTCCTCTAAGTGGAAATATAAGAAAATTAACAATTTCCTATGTAGACAGCCACGTTCAGACCTCAATGCTTTTTTCCCTTTACAAACTCAATCTATGTGTTATTCACCTCCTAGTTGTCAAGGGGCTAGAAGCTAATTCACTGTTAAAATATGTCTGAAACACTAAGCTAAAAACAGGAGTGTGCACCTATATTATACCACTAACTTTGTCTTGATCTGTTGTTGGATCTTAACAGGGAAGGTCTTAAAATTCTGCTGGCAGTGGTTGTGATTGTTGGCACTTGTGTAAGAAGGGGCGATGATCTGCAGTGCCCCCTCAGTGGTGCCACCCTGCTTATTGGCAAGAAGTCCTGCAGAACTCTGTGGCTGCGTGGCTATGATGAGTACACTCTGAGTCCTAACAGTGAGCAGGAGAAAGCAATGCTCTGCAGGTATCCATTCAAATGTTGGTTCAGCCTCATACTATCTGCAGGGCATCTCCCTTGTGCTATGAAGAGCGACCCTCTGCCAGCTTTTAAGGATTGATGCTGTGCAGATAGCAAATCCCCAGTCAGTCTCCAGAAAGTAGTGTTGGGAAGACAGGATTATCAAAGCCCCTTGAATGCCAAAGCAGGGGGTATGGTCTGGCATAGAATGGGCAGTAAAAAGCCTGTGTCTGCCCGAGGAATAGGCAGAGCAGGCTGCATTACTACCTTTCTCTGCCAAAGTTGCTTGCATGCGCTGGCACAAAACAGGCAGAACTAACCTATTTTGTGCCAGAGCAGCAGCTGTAGCTTGGGACGCACTGTTGGCATTATAATAGACACCCTAGCACAGAACAGGTAGATAAAGCCCATTCTCTGCTAGGGATGTGGGCACACTGGCACAGACAGGACACATACCTTTGTAACAGCATCAGACAAACACCAGTGGACAGCATTAACCCACCCTTAGTCAGAGAACCAAGCACACGCTGGCAGAGAATGGCTAGTATTGACCCCTCTGCAACAGTAGCAGGCACACACTGGCACAGAGGGAGGGTGTAGGGTTTATTTTGGGAAAGGGTGCAGTTTTACTCAGAATTGTAATATTGGTGGCTGTGGTCATAGTTTCCATCTTCCCCTTCTTCGGAGTTGGGATTGAGGCAGTACTTTGAGTCGTAGACTTGGCGGGGCAGCCCGTACACGGTCATGCCTTGTTGAGATGCCCCTTTGTTGGTTCCCATTTGCAGGGAGATGGTTTGGGTATCGCAATGTTCCATGCCAAGCTTCTGCTCAAAGATCTGACGCTTGGTACCAGGAGCCGTCATGCCGGACTAAGGAGTTAAAATAGAAAATGGTATTTTGAGAGGAAATAACTGAGAGGGGGTGGCATAATAATACGAGTCGCATTTTACAGGGATGAAATCTCAATATTCTCACCATACAGAATCCACTCACTCACTAACCACCAGCTCCAAAGCTTACAAAATGTAATACTTTTTTTTCCAAAACACCTGACTTTGGAAAAAATAATGGGGGTTTAGTTACAGCATACATTGCATAAGCCTGCCACAACACGAATGTACCCCATTTTTGGAAGGTCATATTATAGTAACCTAATGCCTGCTCTGAGATTAACCAACTTACTTGGGAAATGCTTCCTCTTAGGGCTCTCAGCAGTGCAAAATTAAATAGGGTCTTGGAGTTGGGCACTTGTAGTAATTGGCCCAAGCGGCACCTTTATAAGGTAATCATCTTTAGATGTGTGCGGCCTTCTTGGGTCCATTATTTTCAGTCACCACAGGTGGCGCTCTTTGCTAATTAGAAGATATGGCGGCCAGACTATCCACTCCAGATGTGGTGCACATAACTATGCTGGATACAGCTCTCCATGGTTATGAAGGCTAGAATGCATGAAGTTAATTGTGCCTGTACTGTTTAATAATTTAAGAAAACCCCTGCTCTAGTACCTGCTCCCAGAGAAGTCCAAGTTGGATAAATGAAGTGGAACAGGCACTTGAGAAGAGATTAACATATTAATAGTAAAGTAAAGTCCCACATACCCTTGATTACTAGGACCGTTCTTAACAAACTCACCTGGGATGCTCCTTTGTTGGTGCCCATCTGTAGGCTGATAGTGGCTTGATCCAATGGCTGGTCAGTGCCCAATTTGGGGTCATACAGGTGCCTGCGTGTGCCATAAGAAGTCATCCCCTTCTGGCTGGCAAACTTGTTGGTGCCCATCTATTAACAGAGAATATAAAGATATGTCCAAGAATGGAACCTTTATTGCTCTAGTGTAGCTGTTATAATAGCTGTGATACAATTCTTGAATCCCACCAGCAGCCCACCAATACCAATCTTCATGCATTTGCCCTAAGTAAAAAATATTTGTATTTCTATACATGTCACAACAGATACCCAGGTAATTTCTATCTTAATAATGATTTTTCCCCCCTGCAAATAATTTTCAAACACCTGTAGCAGCTGTTCCATATATGAAATTAACCAATTTATTGATATTTTATTTTACCAACGGTGCCCAGCTCATTGTGTGACATCCATGTATTACAGTAAATTGCTGTAAGTATTATGTGTAACAGTGGCAATAAATGTCCTTTTGCTGCCTCTCACCTGCAATCCAATAATGTTTCTTCCTTCTCTGAGTTTTTCGGGTTGAAACTTCCTTTCCTGCCTGTCTGCATATTTCACTCCAAAAGGGACCTTCGCACCTTTAGATTTGGCCTAAAATAATGGTAAAAAGACATTATATTATACAGAGTACACATCACTTGCCATGCTAATCATAGTATAACCTAACAGTCCTGTGCAATGTATTCAACCAAGGCATTTTCCATCTTACGTCTTGCAAAAAGCTATTATTAATATTATTTCTCTTAGTAATAGTTGATTTTCTTTAAAGTAATCAGCAACGTAAGGTTTAGTTTTGTTACCAGTGGTCTACTCATTTGAGTCACTAGTGAGCACGTTATATATGTAGTAAAACTGCAGGTCATGATTCACTCTAAATTTGGCCTATAACCTGCTTTCTGAATGTGCATGTTTACCTACAGTCCTCATGTCTAGTTAGTCCTTTGAGTCTTGATTTTAGCCTAGCAGTTAGACATGTTTGACCAGCTTGATACACTTGTCTACTATAACTTTAAAAATGTGCAATTTTATTAAATGCCATAATGTCTGTTTCTGAAGTGCTTGCTATGGTTACCGTGGCATGACAAGTTTGATTGTAAACTCCTGCACAGCAAAAATAATGAATAAAAAAAAAAAAAAAGCTGTGTCCAGGAATCCTACTGCAGATTTCTGTTGGATCAGCTTCTTACCTTTACTATCGCCTTGGATCACGTCCTAGTGACTGTCAAACAGTAAGTAGACCTAACAGTTACGCCAAGGAACAAGGCCCACGGCATCAATTATGGTTCAGGTATTCACTTTACTGTCTCGTTCGGCTAATTCTGCTCTGCTAAATCAGTATATCCGTCTGGTTTTTCAGCCGTTCGTTTACACAGCATTTTCGGGAATATGTATTTAAATGTTCGGTACTTATGTTATTTGCTGTATATTTCTCCCGCTCATTTCTTACTCACATAGCATTTTCGCATAAATTTCTACGTTCATGCGGTCCAACGCACGAACACGCTATTCACATGTTTCTACTGATTTATCCCTGTCATTTCCAGTTTGTGCGGTTCACATTGCACGAACAAGATACACTAATATAACTATCACTGCCCACCGGGCAGCCGTTCGGCCACAGCATGACAAACCTTGTTATATATATATATATGTTGTCCTGTTCGTGCGGTTAAACGCACAAATGGACAGGTTTGGGGAATAAAATTACATTTATGTCTAAAAATACTTTCATGGTTAAAATGGGGGTTATTATATATAGTTACATTTGGATAAACTCCACACACTAATGGGTTAAATATATGTTCCAAATTACACATATGGGTATACACATGGTTAAAGATTCCACACTGCCACCTTCAGGTCAGCAAGGATATTGCTATTATTGGAATATCACATTACTTTCCTGAACTCTATACATCATCTCACAGATACCTCATATATTTTCACAAAGGGGTTAAATTATACTACTACATTTACCTACCAACTACAAGGTGACATACGGAATTACGGAGATCTTACAAACACCATCTCCTGACCTATACAGGTCAAAACAAACATAATTAAAGTTAATATAATTGTGACACTTGTGTATATATATTTCAGACGGTTTCATCTATTTAGTTACAGGTACTACTGTTACCTATACGGATTACCAGGTTTCAATAACCTATACTACCAGGTACGTACACCTGCTTACAGTAGATCCATAAAAAATCTCCCACAGAATAAACAAGTACTGGCAATTAGGGTCATAGGGTCCAATAGGTAATTCCCCTTTCCTCTGCATCTATGCTTAGGATTAGTGGTCCCGCGAGGCCAACACCCCGCTACAAACTCGGAGGCAAACACCCCTCGGGCCACATGTGAGCTAGCCGCCTTGCACGTATCATAGAGAGGGCCTCACCTGTCACTCCCCTTCCTATTTTCTGGTTACAGTCACCGAGAGGCCGACATCCTGCCACAACGTTCAGTGGCCACAAAAATCTCCTTGTGCCAAGCAAAGATAGAGCCTTTCAAGCCGCTTGGCAACTAGCAGGGCCTCACCTGTCACTAAAACAATAAGCATAATGGTTTCGCCTCACGGCATAGCTAGTAAGCCAGTACTAAACTACTGGGTTTCAAATAATAATTTTATCTCTCATTTTATTCAAGTATGTCTCATGAAGGTGATGAAGAGCTATCTCTTCATGGCACCCCAACTAGGGTCGAGACACCCTCTCGTAGGGGAGATATTGCCAGTCCGACATCAATCAGATCCTGGACGATCCCACGCATCACCAACGAGTTAAGGAGGCGACAAGTCCCCTACCCTGCCACCAGGGGCGGACTGACAGGTCGGGCATATCGGTCATGGACCGAGGGCCCGAGGCAGTCAGGGGCCCGGCAGCACAGCCATGCTCCAGCTGGAGAGATCAGAGATCTCCTCAGCCAGAACAACATGCTTTTTTGTTATTCCAGTGATATGCTGCAGGACCCCTGCAGCATATCACTCTGTAGTTAAGCCCCTTCCTCCCTCACCCGTTTCTGCTTTCTCAGGGAGACCTGGCAGTGAGGTCTCCAGCCGTGCGGTGCTGTGTGAGGAGGAAGAGGCGGGGCTAGGAAGTGACATCACTTCCTGCCTTGCATGAAGAGGAGCTGCAGCAGCCTGGCAGATAGCTCAGGTAAGCTTCTTATAATTATTTTCTGCAAATCCTCATTCAACTCAGCACCACCTGCATTCTCCCTGCACCCACCTCGGCCCCTTTGTATCCACCTTAGCACCCCAGTACCCACCTCAGACCCCCTGCTCCTACCTAAATCCACCTCAGGCCCCCTGTACCCACCATAGCCTCCAGCTCCTACCTCAGACCCCCTGCTCCTACCTAAACCCCCTCTGAACCCACCTCTGCTCCCACCTCAGCTCCCCAGTACCCAGTACCCACCTCAGCCCCCCAGTATCCAGTACCCACCTCTGCTCCCACCTCAGCCCCCCAGTACACACCTCTGCTCCCACCTTAGCCCCCCAGTACCCACCTCAGCCCCCCTGAACCCACGTCAGCCCCCCAATACCCCCCCCTGCCACGTCAGTCAATAGCCCCCAGTACCCACCTCTGATCCCACCTTAGCCCCCAGTACCCACCTCAGCCCCACAACACCCACCTCTGCTCCCACCTCAGCCCCCAGTACTCACTCAAACCCCAGCTCCTACCTCAGCCCCCCAGTACCCACCTCAGTCCCCAGTACCCACCTCTGCTCCCACCTTAGCTCCCCTGTACCCACCGTAGCCCCACTGTACCCACCTCAGCCCCACTGTACCCACCTCAGCCCCCCGTACCCACTTCAGCTCCTCCTCCACACACCACATCTCCCCTTGCACCCACCTCAGCTCCCTGTCTCCCTGCACCCACCTCAGCCCCCCTGTACTAACCACAGGTCCCCCTCCACATCTCCCCTTGCACCCACCTCAGCCCCCCTGTACTAACCACAGCTCCCCCTGCACCCACCCCAGCCCCCCTGTACTAACCACAGCTACCCCTGCACCTACCTCAGTTCCCATGCATTTACCTCAGCCACCATTCCTCCTTACACTCTGCCCAGGATCTACCTGTCCCTGTACCCACCTATTTCCCTATGCACCCACCACAGCCCATATACCACCTCCACCTACCATAGCTCCTATGCCTTCCAGTACCCACCACAGCCACTATGTCCCTCCCTGTCCCCACTACAGCCTCTATGTCCATCCTGTGCCCACAACAGCCCCTTGTCTACCCGCACCCACCACAGCTCCTTCTGCACACATCACATCTCCCGCTGCACCGACCTCAGCTCTCCTTTTACCCACTTTAGCCTCCTGTCTCCCTGCACCAACCTCAGCCCCCCTGCACCCACCTCAGCCCCCAGTACCCACCTCTGCTCCCACCTCAGCCCCCCCCGTACCCACCTCAGCCCCCCCCGTACCCACTTCAGCTCCTCCACACACCACATCTCCCCTTGCACCCACCTCAGCTCCCTGTCTCCCTGCACCCACCACAGCCCCCTGTACTAACCACAGGTCCCCCTCCACATCTCCCCCTGCACCCACCACAGCTCCCCCCGCACCCACCTCAGCCCTGTCTGCATCCACCACAGCTGCTCCTGCACCCACCTCATTCCCCTGCACTCACCTCAGCCACCATTCCTCCCAACACTCACCCCAGGATCTACCTATCCATGTTCCCACCACATCCCTTCTGCCACCTCCAACTACCATAGTCCCTATCCCTTTCAGTACCCAACACAGCTCCTATGTCCCCTCCTGCGCTCACCATGACCTCTATGTCCCACCTCATACCCTGTCCAGTCCCACCCCCACCTAAGTCCCAGAGCCTCCCCGTGCCCACCTCAGTCCCTGTGCCTCACAGTGCCCACCACAGCCCCTGTGCCTCCCTGCACCTATTTCAGCATATATCCCCCCACGCACACACTACAGCTACTATCCAACTTATACACAGTAGAGCCTCTATTATCCAAACACGCACACACTACAGCCCCAGTAACCACCAGATGCCTACTACATAGTCTATCCCACAGACACTGCAACACAGCCAGCCATCTCCACTCACATAATGCACTGCAAATCGCCCCATTCACACACACACAAAAATCCACAAGGAGCCTCACTGTATAGACACAGTCCCACAAGCAGCATCCCCACACATACAAAACCACATGCTGCCTCCCTACACATACACATCACAAACATCATACCCACCATTGCAATACTGCACACAGCCTCCACACACATATCACTTATATAGCACCAACATATTCTGCAGCGCTGTACAATAGGTAAAACAAGAGAAATGATTAATCTAACACAACACTTTGACATACAGGAACACAACATCACTAGCAACATCCCCACACACGCAACCCCACAAGTAGACTCCAAACACATGTGGCTACTTGTATGGTTGTACATGTGGGGTTGCTGCTTGTGATTGCCTCAGCAAAATCAGTGGAAGTGTGTTATTAAAGTTGCTTTATTTTTTTATTTTCAAGGGACACTATAGTCACCCAGACCACTTCAGCTCAATTAAGTGGTCTGGGGGCCAGGTCCCTCAGGTTTTAACCCTTCAGATGCAAACATAGCAGTTTCAGAGAAACTGCTATGTTTACATTTGGGGATAATCCAATCCCTGCGACGCTGGGGCGCATTCTGCCTCCATCACGCAGATCGTCCATAGGAAAGCATTGAGAAATGCTTTCCTATGGATACTTTGAATGCGTGCGCGGCACTGCCGTGCATGTGCATTCGGCTCCGCTGACGTCAGACGGGGGAGGAGCGGTCACCAGCACCGAGGGAGCCCAGCGCTGGATTAAGGTAAGTGGCTGAAGGGGGTTTTAACCCCTTCAGCGCCACGGGAGGGGGACCCTGAGGGTGGGGGCACCCTCAGGGCACTATAGTGTCAGGAAAACCTATTTGTTTTCCTGACACTATAGTGATCCTTTAATTGCTGAGAAGGCACGCCAGCAAGGGTTACTCCATCTAAAAACAGTGTTTATTAATACACTGTTTTTGGTTGGATTAACTCCTTTAAAGTAAATCTGGCCATTTTTGTGGGCTCTGCTAGTGTTGGAGTCAGGGCTGTGTGGCTCTAACACAGCCATTCTGTGTGCTGTGCAGCCTACACATAATATATGTGTAAAAGCAGCAGGAAGAAGGGGGAGAAGAGTAGCAGGGGACCAGAAAACCCTATACCAGGACCAAGAGGGGGGGCCTTTGATCACCCACTGCCCGAGGGCCCTGTGAGTGGTCAGTCCACCCCTGCCTGCCACAGCAAGGAAAGCGGAAGGCAAAGATGTCAACCTAGCATCCCTACTAATTGCCTCCCAGGATGTGGTGGAGAATAAGAACTATATGTACGATGAAGTATCTGTGGTGGTCAGATCCAAAGACGCAAGGTTAAAACGGAAACTGACCATTCCAGAATTTGTGTTAGCCTTTGGTATATTTAGAGATGTAATTTGTGAAGTGTACCCTAATAGAAGGGAAGAGTTTGATCGATATATGCACAAGCTGGTGGACCTGGGGAACAAATATGGTGGGTCTGCTTTTTACGACTACCATAGGTCTTTTTCCCACTAAGGTGTCTCGTGCTCTCTCTCAGTATTGTACCCGTATCAACTGGAGCAGACTAGATACAGAGCTATTCTGTAGACACTTCGCAGGTCTGAAAACACCAGCTTGTGCATCCTGCTCTTCTACTACTCACACTACCAATTTTTGTTCTCACACGGCAGACGACCGTAATCAGTCACCTAGCACCAGCTACGCGGGTAGAACTGAGAGAACCACCAGAGACAAACTGGGTCGTCCTATCATTTTCTTTGGTAAATCACAGGAGTGCAATAATTTCAATGTGGGTACATGTAGCTTTAGTGCATGCAGGTTATTGCATATTTGTTCACATTGTTTCAAGGCACATGCAAAAACCATGTGTCCAAATAAAATGTACCCTAAACCATACCTAACGTCTGTTAACATTCATGTCTTCTCAGCACTACTAACCAATCACCCTTCCAGACATATGGTAAATTTTCTCATATCTGGTTTCTCAGAGGGGTTCCATACAGGCATTATACATATGCCCACAGGCCAACTGGAATGTCCAAATTTACAATCAGCACAACAAAACCCAACAGCCGTAGATACACTCTTAGCCCAAGAGCTGGCAGAGGGGTTCTTGTTCGGGCCTTTTAAAACCCCACCTTTTACGGCATGGCGCACAAATCCCGTAGGGATAGTCACAGGGAAATCTTCCCTCAAGCAGAGACTCATCATAGATCTGTCAGCCCCTCATACCTCATCTACACTGAGTCTGAACTCTCTTATTCCCTCCGAAGAGTTCTCCCTACAATATGCCACTATAGACCATGCCATTACAGCCATTATGCAAGCAGGGATCGAAGCGTGGCTAAGTAAGACAGACATTACAAATGCCTTTAAACTACTACCTATCCACCCCACACTATGTCACTTACATGGCATCAAATGGGCAGATAACTATTACTTTTTCTCCCGCTTAACCTTTGGGTCAAAAAGTAGCCCAAAAATCTTCGACACTTTTGCAGAATCACTTTGCTGGTTGTTACTCAACATTTCTAGATGCCCCATAGTCATCCATTGTCTGGATGATTTCTTACTGATTGAAGAAAACTCCTTTCCCCCCAGGAGTCTCAAAGCAACCATTAGTCTGTTTGACCACCTGGAAGTCCCAGTATCCAACAAGAAAACCGAAGGCCCAAATACAATCATTACATTTCTAGGTATACAACTAGACTCGGCCACTAGGCAAGCTAGTTTACCACAAGAGAAAATCAAAAACATACTCAACAGCATTAACCATTACATTTTGCTGGGTAATTGCAACTGCAAGGAACTTCAATCTCTCATAGGTTCCTTGAACGTTGCCATTCGCATCATTTCTCAAGGGCGTGCTTTCAAATCCAGACCTCTCTGTCTTTTTCCACATTTCAAACACAACAACTATAGACTGTCCTTGGATGCGCACGCCACGGCAGACCTATACATGTGGAAAGAATTCTTGACCACTTGGAATGGTAAAAGCTTGTTCCTACTAGAGCTGACTGACACGTCTCCAACCATATAGTCAGACGCGGCGTCTACCACAGGTTTCGCAGCAATCTTTGGGAACGAATGGCTTTGGGGTAAGGGGCCTGAAGAAGTCGATTACTTAGAAGGCTTTTTTACAACCTCAGGTCTTTTTGAGATTTATCCCATTGTAGCAGCTGCCGTGGCGTGGGGACATTTATGGTCAGGCTTGTCAGTCCGTTGCCACACAGACAACCAAGCAACATGTTACATCATTAACAAAGGCCGTTCATCATCCCTAACAATCATGAGATTTCTCAGGAAACTCACGTGGTTAGCAGCATGTCACAGTTTCTACTTGGTCTGCTTTTATGTACCAGGCATTACATGGCAGCTGACAGTCTGTCTCGTTTCAACTTTCAGGCTTTTCAGCAAGCACTCCCGTCAGCAGCACTAGCAGCCACAGCCGCCCCTCCATTCCAGCAGCTAACCATGGACTAGAACTAATCATGCAACATAGCAGGGATCTGTCCAAATTAGCACTATCATCCAACACTCACAAAACATACAACATAGCCTTCATACTTTTCACAAGATTTCTATCTGACCACGACATAGCCCAACCTTTCGTCATGACATCTATTATAGCCTTCGCTTCTTTTTGCCACCTTAAATTACACTTATCTTACAACACAATCAAAGTATATCTGACAGGCATTCAACATCATATGCTAACTCTACAACCCAATACACATAGTTTCATGTCATCTTATCAGGTAAAGAATATACTCAGAGGTATTCAGAAATCCGTTCCTCCACAGAGATTACCTATAGATAACACACTTTTCCAGTCATTATCCGACCTATTAGACTCCAAACCTTTTCACTCTACTACCAACACAGTCACCAAAGCTGCCATGTACATAGCATTCCACGGGTTCCTCAGGCCAAGGGAATTCACTACTATCACCACCACTCAAAAAGACAGATGTCTTCTATGCATACACCTACGCAAACACATGGATCACTACATACTGTCCCTACCTCAGTCAAAAACCAGCCAACACGCACCTCCAGTTGAGATCACTTATTTCCCTACACACAACAAATGGTGTCCAGTAACAGCTCTAGATTCCTACTTTTCACTTTCCCCATCAACACCATTACTACACCTATTCTCACTAAACGGCTCTGTACTCACTACTACGACTATCATGCGATACATCAGATCTCTGTTAACCATGCTAGGTTTTAACAATTCACTCTACTTAGGTCACTCCTTCCGCATAGGGGCGGCCTCCACAGCTTCCAGCGCTAACATACCGGTACATATCATTAAATCATTGGGGCGGTGGAAGTCATCCGCTTACACAACCTACATACCAAAACCTACACAAGAATTAAGAAATACTTTTAAAGAAAAGTCTGGATAATTGTATATAATTGTTGACTGTATTAAATCTTTGGTTATTCAATTTTTGCCCTCTTTATTTACAGGCCTACCTTATCGTCGGTATCGGCACACCACAACTGACTTTGCTCTTTTATTCTATCCTACGTTCTCACTTGAACCTTACTCCATATACGGATAATTGCCCCTTACACCAATAAGGACCATCATACATGCACATATTTATTCATATGTCTGAATGAAGGTATGTTGCTGTATGGAGTTACTGGGTAACTTGGGGGGAAAAACAGACAACAAACACGTTGTTTAGCAAATTCCATTCCGATAATAATCTTGATAACTCTTTAAGGTATTGAGGAATGTATGTTGCCATTGTTTCCATTGTGAGTTTAGTTAGATGGGTCTGTTAGAGTGTCAATAAGACATGTTGTAAGGGAAGATACATTCTGATAATCTCAGTGATTCCCAACATTACATGGTTAACACGAGAAACAGCATCATCATACTTCTATCTGCTATACAGGAGTTTCTTAATACTCAAACTAACGATTCTTGGACATTCTGCTGTGTTGTGTCACAAGAAAATCAGATTGTGTTGTATCCATGAATGGGGCAGCTTCACCATTGGGTTCTCCAGGGAATGGGCATGATTGAGTTAATTATTCTCGTCTGATAGCAGCAAAACATATCGGATAAAATTGCATGGAACCACCTACCATAGGATGTGTTCCCTAAAGATCCTGGGGTGTCTATTGATAAATCCCTCTTTCAATGAATCAAAAGTTCTAAGTATTTTTTCCCCACTCTCTGCCACGTTCTGTCCCTCCTCTTTAACACCCAAAATGCCCATTAAAGTATATATTGGACAGATATAGCAGACTGATCCCACTTATAAGGGAAGACCAGATCAAAAATACAAGCAAGTTTCCTCCCAACGAGAGACAGGACAACCCCCGATGGTCTTTTTGTTCTGCCTCTCACTGTCCTCATCATTTGGATACTGTCGATATCGATCTAGCCAAAATAGGTCTGTTCAAGAACTTTTCAATGATTTCCAAGATAGTATGCATCTTCACTAAATTGTGAGTTGTGAAAAGTTGACCAGGGAATTGCAAATGTAAGGACCAAAGACATTTGTTGAAACAGTTGTGTTTGTGGCCAATATACCTGAATTATTGCTATTATTCCTTAACAATTACCTACAATTCTGAACTTAGACAATAAACTCAATAAAATCAGAGACATAGGGGAGGAGTACTGTCTATTTTTTTTTTTATGCTACAAAAAAAATATGCCATTTATTATTCAAATATTATTTTAAATTTACCATTAGAATACTGTTTATATTATATTATTAATGTGTGCATGATCAGTGATCATGATTTGAAAATTCAATTTAAATTCAGTTTGAAATGCACAATTTAGTGAATAATCCTGTCAGTCTCTGGGTGCACCGGATTATGTTCTTTATATATATATATATATATATTATACACATATTTTATTAATTTGAATGCAGGGGAAATTAATTAAGCATTCACTTTATAAATGTAATGATATGACTGTCCTTCCATGCGCTAAGAATTGACTATTAGTTCATTGTGATTACAGCAGAATTTGGACCTGGTGCACACATCCTGTCCATATAAAGTAACACGCGTAGTGCCAGATTTATGATCTCGGATTATAAAGCATATTTGAGAAGGACTTGGAGTGAGACCAGACAAACCAATTTCTACTGATTTCTGATTTTGTACAGTTTGGGTTATTTATAATGAGCAATTGTGGAACAAAGTCTCCATCACTGAAGACACCATTGGAATGTCTGTGCTGATTAGGCCACGTTTAGAACTTTGTCCCAGAATTCCTTTTTTATACAGAATCTTGGGCAGCATTGCGTTCCTATTACACCAACTCCATTAAAGGACTTTATTTTTACCACTGACCCTTCGGTGTTTAGGTCTTTGGTGTACGTCATCCCCGGGATGATTTTTCATCAAGGTGAGAATAGGGAATTCTCCAAGACTATTCTGGTTTTAAATTTGGATATTTTAGCCTTAAATGTGAAATTCACTTTGAATTCCTGGCTACTGGAGTGGCTACTTTACGTCTGATACTCATACGAGATGTTTTTGTCATTTGGGTCAAGTCCCAGTTTGAGTACTCATGTTATTACAGTGAGTCCCACGATAATTGGATCAAGCCCTGGGCAAATGCCTACAAAAAAATGATTTACGGGAGCTGCACTGCTTTCCTAAATGCCCCTTTCATGCCGGAATCAGTCTATTAAATGTATTTTGTGGAACTGGTTTTGATACATATACTACTGCAGCTGAAAAAACGAGTCACTGAGCTAATTTAAAACGTGCCGAATGGGTCCCAAGTTTGTATCTTGTGTATAATTTGGGCCCTGATAAAAAATAAAGAACCGCTCCTGTAGTATTCCTGGATGATTAATAGCCCCAGCCCAACCTTTCTGAAACACTCAGATATTAGGTACCTCAAGGAGGACAGCTAATAATCTCAGAATAGGACATTTTATATATTATTACTATTTTGCAGCTTTATTGGGTGGAATCACAGAAAACATCTTGCCGTTGACGTTACTGCATTTACTCTATCTCACATACCCTCTAGTGGCAATTTGTGGTACTGTAGCTTAATAGAATCTCAACAACACAAATTCTGCCAATTAGAGCAGTCTTTGGGGCTTTCTCCATCATTGCCAGTTCTAAAATAAAAATATCATTTTAGTGAATAGGTTATCCATTAGCCTCAATTTGCTGGATGCAATAAAAAGACTGGCACTTTATCCTGAGCACTCACTGCTTTCCAGTACAGTCTCTCTCTATATAGTGCATACAAACTTACCACGCTGGCTAAGGCCAGAAGCGTAGATTGGACTTGGGTTAAGTTGCAGTTCTCAAATAGCTCATTGGCCTCAAATATATCATGTTGTTTGACTCCATAGTCTGTGATCGCTTTGGTAAAGTTCCCAATGTTTTCCAGCTGTAAGAAAGTAAATCAGGTTTTCAATCACAATGTATAGTTACCATATGCGCAGCCTTGTGGGATGTGGTAGGGATGGCCCACGTGGGACTAGCAAAGAGGCCACCTAAAGTAACTTTATTTTTTAATGTGGAAGGACCATTTGTGGCATCACAGCTTACCTGGGGAAATAAGAATATCTGGCTGAACCCACACTCCTGTTACTGCATACCTCCCACCATAATGCTCATTGTTTATTAAAAAGCTGGTAGCAAGTACAGTCACTCTGAAAGTTCTCATATTTTAATCATTATTCAAGGGCCATCTGTTCTCATATCTCAATTATTATTAAAGTTTCACCTGTTCTCGTATCTCAATCATTATTAAAGGCCCACCTGTTCTCATTTCCCTCTCATTATTAAAGACCCACCTGTTCACATATCGCTATAATTATTAAAGACCCACCTGTTCTCATATCTCAATCATTATTAAAGTCCCACCTGTTCTCATACCTCAATCATTATTAAAGGCCCACCTATTCTTACACCTCAATCATTATTAAAGGCCCACCTGTTCTCATATCTCAATCATTACTAAAGATTCACCTGTTCTCATATCCCAAGCATTATTAAAGACCCACCTGTTCACATATCGCTATTATTATTAAAGACCCACCTGTTCTCATATCTCAATCATTATTAAAGTCCAGCCTGTTCTCATACCTCAATCATTATTAAAGGCCCACCTATTCTTACACCTCAATCATTATTAAAGGCCCACCTGTTCTCATATCTCAATCATTACTAAAGCTCCACCTGTTCTCATATCCCAAGCATTATTAAAGGCCCACCTGTTTTTATACCTCAATCATTATTAGAGACTCACCTGTTCTAATATCTCAATCATTATGAAAGGCCCACCTGTTCTCATCTCAATCATTATTATAGGCCCACCTGTTCTCATATTGCAATCATTATGAAAGGCCCACCTGTTCTCATATCTCAATCACTTTTGAAGTTCCACCTGTTCTCATATCTCAATCATTATTAAAGGCCCATCTATTCTCATACCTCAATCATTATTATAGGCCCACCTGTTCTCATATCTTAATCATTATTAACGGCCCACCTGTTCTCATACCTCAATCATTATTAAAGGCCCACCTATTCTCACACCTCAGTCATTAACGGCCTACCTGTTCTCATACCTCAGTCATTATTAAAGGGCCACCTATTCTCACACCTCAATCATTATTAAAGGCCCACCTGTTCTCATATCTCAATCATTATTAAAGGCCCACCTGTTTTCATAGCTCAATCATTACTCCCTCTAGAATATAAGCACTCCCTCTAGAATGTAAGCTCATTGAGCAGGGCCCTCCACCTCTCTGTTCCTGTACGTCCAATTGTCTGGTTAAAATTACATATCTGTTAGTCCACCCATTGTACAGCGCTACGGAATGTGATGGTGCTATATAAATAATAAAATAATAATAATTATTCTTATTAAAGGTCCACCTGTTCTCATTTCCCAATCATTATTAAAGACCCACCTGTTCACATATCTTAATCATTATTAAAGGTCCACCTGTTCTCATATTTCAATCATTATTAACGTTCCACCTGTTCTCATATTTCAATCATTATTAATGGTCCGCCTACGCTCATAGTTCAATTATTATTAAAGGCCCACCTGTTCTCATATCTCAGTCATTATTGAAGACCCACTTGTTCACATATCTTAATCATAATTAAAGGTCAAACTCGTTGACCTCACTATATGAATCAGTCACCCTATGAAGGTCTGCTATAATTTTTTTAGGTAACCCCCTTATCTTTGAAACTCTATATCTCTGGTTCCCCAACTACTAAATCAGCAACCATATCACATCTTGAAATGTATTCTCCTCATTCGTGTCCTGCAGATACCATCACGTTTTCAATGTGATTTTCTCCTACAGAAAGGTGGCATGATATCTGCACCATTTACCTGATGCCAGTTTTGTGTGGACTCATTGATCTTCCGAACGGAACCGGGTTGAAGCTTGTTAATCAACCTGGAGGAATAAGAGCGATGATAAGTTAGGTATTGGTGCCGATATCTCCATCACCTACTAGGCAAGCAATGCCATCTTTCTCTGTAATGGACAAACCAAGCTAAAGTGCTTGCTGACCTGCAAACATTCACATTTGCACATGGTGTGTCACGGTCTGATAGCAACGTCTCACAACTGCAACACACACAGCTATCTTCCATGATTCACACATCTCAGCCCCACATACCAGAGGTATGGTGCTTGGCCCTGACATAGATTGAGCCACCCATCATGCTTGGCACAAAGTCCTCATTCAAGCCGTAGACAGAAGTACTATTTTTTTCCCAGAGAAGACTGTTCCTGCCAGTTAACCGTTAACTTACTCGCACAGAATGACTCCATCTTTCAACGCGTCCATGAACTTGTTCCCAAGGCTTCTCCCCGTGGTGCTTTCAATCCATTCTCTGAGCTCGGCCTCCTTATGGGGGTCATACTTCTGAGCCAACTGAGAGGAGAAAACAGGGTACCATTATCATACAGCTTTTCTGTCTATCTTTTTTTTTTATTTTTTATAATCTTTATTGAATTTTTTTTATATATTTTAAAAAAATGATATATAAAACATAAGAAAATACATTAGACATATTAACACATATATTCTGATGGCGCGTATCTCAATCAGATGAATGTGCTTCTATTATCTATACAGACATAGATGAATGTCCAATTGTGCAGCCATTTACAATTTGCAATTTCAGATGAGAAAGCGAAAAAAATAAAAAAAAAATCACAGTATTTAACAAAACAACAGACACGACATACCAACTTCCTATACAGTGCCAAGAGAGGGAGGGGAGTTACCTTTATTCCAACAGCCAGGAATTTCTGGCTTTTAAGAATGAACATGACCTTGATTTTTCTTATTTTCTTTTTTTTTTTTTTACTAGTGTCCAGGTTTTACACTTATTATATAATATCTGAAATGTTATACAGACCATATTTTATATCACCTTCCCCGTACTTTGAAGATTTTACCGTTATTCTAGTGACTAAATGTAATTAGAACATTATTTATCTTTTCCGAGCAGATATCCCAGGGAGATGTTTTTCTATTATTTTTTTTTTAGACTTTGTTTGCTAAACAGTTGTTCCATCTTGACCTGAAATTCAAATTGTTTTTTTTAACTAATAACCAAGAAATATTATATAAATTTTTCCAGAGTTTTGAAATCACAAATTTAGTGGTCAGAAATAGGTGTATTATAATCAGTTTGTTCACAAGGGACATAGGGGGCCAATTAAAGTAAAGTAAGGCACTTTCTTTATTTTATAGTTTAAAGTTGTAAACTTCAACTGATAAGTTTTATCCCATAAGTCTTTGATCTTAACACACTCCCACCATAAATGTAGATGTGTGCCTGTTGTTGTTTGACATCTCCAAGAAAGAGGATCCTCACTTGAGAACATTTTGTTCATTCTCTCTGGAACTAAGTGCCCCCTATTAAGTACTTTAAAATAAGATTCTATTAGATTTAAAGAGTGGGTATTTTTGGTCACACTTTTCAATAAGGAATTACATTCTTTGATGTTTTCTGACCATCTTTAATACCCATGTGGTCTGTCTGTCTATAACTCTAATGTCCAGGGTGTCTGTCTGTCCAACTCTAATCTCCATTCTGTCCATCCAATCTCCATTCTGTCCAAATGTAAACTCCATGCTTTCTCCAGCTGTCTGTCTGTCCAACCTTAATACCAAGGTAGTCTGTCTGTCCAACGTTAATCCCCATGCTGTCTGTCTGTCCAACTGTATATCCATGAGGTCTGTTGTTTGTCCAGCTCTAATACTGATACTGTTTGTCTTACTAACTGTAACACCCATGGAGTCTGTCTTTCCATCTGTAATCCTCATGTTGGCTGTCTGTTCAGCCTTAATCCCTTTGATGTCTATTTGTCCAAAATAAAAACCCATGTAGTCTATTCAAGTGTAATACCCTTGTTTTCTGTCTAAACAACTGTAATACCCTCTATGTCTATCTGTCAAACCTTAATATTCATACTATCTGTCTGAACAACCGTAATGTCAGGTCTGTCTGTAGAAATGTAAACCCCACACTGTCTGTCCAACCCCCAAACCCATGATGTCTTTCCAACTCTAATCCTCATGGTGTCTGTCTGTCCAGCTCTAATTTCCAATCTGACTATCTTTTTGTCCATCTCAAATCCCCATATTGTCTGTCTGTCTGAATTCCCAACTCTGATTGCCAGGTGGTCTGTCCCTATGAAGTTTGTAATATCATCTATAATCACTATTGTGTGTTCAACTCTCTGGCATTTCGTTGCAAACTAACCTCTAAATGTTCTAGCAAGAATAATCCCCCATGCTGTCTGTCTGTCAAACTCAAATCACCATGTTGTCTGTCCAACTCTAATACATATGCTGTCTCCACTAATTCTACTCACCAAACTATGTGTCTGTCCCGTTCTAATCACCATACTATATGTCTCCCCAATTCTAATCACCAAACTATTTGTCCAGTTCTAATCACCATACTATATGTCTGCCTAATTCTAATCACCATACTATATGTCTGCCCAAATCTAATCACCAAACTATCTGTCTGTCCCGTTCTAATCACCATACTATATGTCTCCCCAATTCTAATCACCATACTATATGTCTCCCCAATTCTAATCACCAAACTATTTGTCCAGTTCTAATCACCATACTATATGTCTGCCTAATTCTAATCACCATACTATATGTCTGCCCAAATCTAATCACCAAACTATCTGTCTGTCCCGTTCTAATCACCATACTATATGTCTCCCCAATTCTAATCACCATACTATATGTCTCCCCAATTCTAATCACCAAACTATTTGTCCAGTTCTAATCACCATACTATATGTCTGCCTAATTCTAATCACCATACTTATGTCTGCCCAAATCTAATCACCAAACTATCTGTCTGTCCAGTTCTAATCACCAAACTATCTGTCTGCCCAGTTCTAATCACCATATTATATGTCTGCCCAATTCTAATCACCATACTATATGTCTGCCCAGTTCTAATCACCATACTATATGTCTGCCCAATTCTAATCACCATACTATGTCTGCCTAATTCTAATCACCATACTATATGTCTGCCCAATTCTAATCACCATACTATGTCTGCCCAATTCTAATCACCATATTATATGTCTGCCCAGTTCTAATCACCATACTATATGTCTGCCTAATTCTAATCACCATACTATATGTCTGCCCAATCGAATCACCATACTATATGTCTGCCCAATTCTAATCACCATACTATGTCTGCCCAATCCTAATCACCATACTATGTCTGCCCAATTCGAATCACCATACTATATGTCTGCCCAATCGAATCACCATACTATATGCCTGCCCAATTCTAATCACCATATTATATGTCTGCCCAATTCTAATCACCATACTATGTCTGCCCAATCCTAATCACCATACTATGTCTGCCCAATTCGAATCACCATACTATATGTCTGCCCAATTGAATCACCATACTATATGCCTGCCCAATTCTAATCACCATATTATATGTCTGCCCAATTCTAATCACCATACTATGTCTGCCCAATCCTAATCACCATACTATGTCTGCCCAATTCGAATCACCATACTATATGTCTGCCCAATCGAATCACCATACTATATGCCTGCCCAATTCTAATCACCATATTATATGTCTGCCCAATTCTAATCACCATACTATGTCTGCCCAATTCGAATCACCATACTATATATCTGCCCAATTCTAATCACCATACTATGTCTGCCCAATTATAATCCATCATTCCACCAAAATTCTCTAAAACTAGAGTATCCCCTAAAAAGGTGAGCATTAGAACCCTGACATCCACAATAACCAGTGAAATGACATTTACACATGTGTAGACTTTCAAGTTTATGCAAATTGCAAAAGATGAATAATGATTTTAGTGCATACATGGATATATAATTAGGTCTAGGCATCTTTGCTGCATTTCATCAGACTCCAATGAAAGTAACAAATGCTGTTTTATAGGGAGCCGTCTGTGCGCATATAAACCATTTGAAAACATTCTCTTACCTAATATAGCTATGGTACTGGGTGCTAGATATGTTTAATTTGAACATTAGAATTTATACAATGGGGGTTAGGCATTAAGAGTAATTCTGGGGGTTCAGACTATTTTGATGGGAGTCGTCACCATAGATATATCACTGAATTGTAAAATTGGAGAAAGACTGGGATGATCACCCACAAAGGGCTCATTATTTAAGAATAGCTATAATCCTCTTTAATCGGGCCACCAATAATAATTAAGTCACCAGAATCAACAGGTATAATACTCATTAATCAGTAGTAGTTTTTAGGCCTGAGCGTGAGGACATCCAGGGCCATTTAGGGGACCTAGAGTTCAGTAAACTCCCAGACAGGGCTGGCCTTAGGCCTTTGGGAGCCCTGTGCGAAACATCTTCACCGCGCCACCTACCCCCACTCCTCCCCCCCCCTTCCCACACACCCTGTCACACACACAGACAGCCACACACACACACACAGGCAGTCACACACAGACAGTCACACACAAACAGACATAGAAACATAGAATGTGACGGCAGATAAGAACCATTCGGCCCATCTAGTCTGCCCAATTTTCTAAATACTTTCATTAGTCCCTGGCCTTATCTTATAGTTAGGATAGCCTTATGCCTATCCCACGCATGCTTAAACTCCTTTACTGTGTTAACCTCTACCACTTCAGCTGGAAGGCTATTCCATGCATCCACTACCCTCTCAGTAAAGTAATACTTCCTGATATTATTTTTAAACCTTTGTCCCTCTAATTTAAGACTATGTCCTCTTGTTGTGGTAGTTTTTCTTCTTTTAAATATAGTCTCCTCCTTTACTGTGTTGATTCCCTTTATGTATTTAAATGTTTCTATCATATCCCCCCTGTCTCGTCTTTCCTCCAAGCTATGCATGTTAAGATCCTTTAACCTTTCCTGGTAAGTTTTATCCCGCAATCCATGAACCAGTTTTGTAGCATTCCCAGAGCCATTCTACACTGCTTGACCACCATACTGTGCTATGCTGTCAGTCTGCTGCTATGTGCAAATTGGGTCACCGGCATGTCCTCACACAGCCTCTATCCCGGCAGAATACTTGTACCAATGTGTGCAAGCAACGTTAAAGTACCAGATTGACTGTCCCTTTCAAACAATCACCCACTTTTAGGAAGCAGGAAACAATAAAACGTTAAAAAAACAAAATTGTGCTTACATAATATCCATTGTTTATGTCAATTAAACCCCTTAAAAATGATTATCTAGCCCACGTAAGCAAACTCTTGAAATGTATAAAACGTAAAAAAAACTATTTAAAAAAAGGAAAATGAAAAACCTGAACATTTTCAAAAGCACCGTGTATTTGTGGGTCAGGGATTGGACATAGACAGTGATATTAAAGGACCACTATAGGCACCCAGACCACTTCAGCTTAATGAAGTGGTCTGGGTGCCAGGTCCATCTAGGATTAACCCTTTTTTTTTTATAAACATAGCAGTTTCAGAGAAACTGCTATGTTTATATTAGGGTTAATCCAGCTTCTAGTGGCAGCCATTGACAGCCGCTAGAGGCGCTTCCGCACTTCTCACTGTGATTTTCATAGTGAGAAGACGCCAGCGTCCATAGGAAAGCATTGTGAATGCTTTCCTATGGACTGGCTGAATGCGCGCGCAGCTCCTGCCGCGCATGCGCATTCAGCCGGAGAGGAGGAGGAGAGCTCCCCACTCGGCGCTGGAGAAAGAGGTAAGTTTAACCCCTTTCTCTCCATCCAGCCCGGCGGGAGGGGGACCCTGAGGGTAGGGGCACCCTCAGGGCACTATAGTGCCAGGAAAACGAGTATGTTTTCCTGGCACTATAGTGGTCCTTTAACAAAAAAAGGAAAACTGCGCTCTATACCCAATGTAATGTGATTGGTTGTTTTTTACCCAATTCAGTCAATGTTTGTTCTCAATGCTTCTTACTAAATCAAGTTCAATATCAGTAAAACGACAGCCAGAAGCCTGTGTATTGTCAATTGTATTTGTAGACGTGACTCCACCACTGCTAAGAAATAATTAAAAAATTTTTGTTTGTTTTCTCAAAATTCAAAGCTACATACTAGGAGCAGAGTATGTCCCATAAGGCATCGTAAATGACTTGCTTCGGAGACATGGCATGGTGTACAATTATTACTTATTACCTATAAAACCAAAATACCACTAATAAATAGACAGATTATTACTAGCCCTAGAAGTAAGATGACATTGGGTGGCAATGACTTTCCTTCTGCTTTATTATGTCACTTGCTGTGTTACATATAGTGGCAGCAGGGATGTAATCCATATCTTGACTACCTCTGTCGGTAAAATAGAAGTGACCCAGGAAGGACAATAAATGGTTACTCCAACAGTTAGACAATAAATGGTTACTCCAACCCATCCATCTGTCCGTCTATCCACCCACTCATCCATGCATCCTTCCATCCATTTGTCCATCTATCCACCCATCCATCCATTATTCCATCTATCCAACTGTGGCAGACCCACGCTCAGTTTGTGTATTCCCTACTTGTAATATATATGTCCTCCCTGTATTCCACCTGTTGTGCCCTGCTCAACGTTCGGGAACGTTCATGCGAAAGGAGCTCATCTGTCTCCCGAATGGGGACCACCCCAATAGCCCATTTAGAACCCTAGTTAGAATGTTAATTAGAATGTTCTCACCTTGACCCAGTGCCAAAACCGCCAGGGAAGCCACCGTCATGGATCGCTTCCCGAACTGTTCGTTTCCCGAACGAGGACCTTCCCGGTGCCCCATTAGAACGTTCACACCGATCAATTAAATGTTCGCACTCGCAACATAAGTGTGAAACCGCAAGGGAAGTAATTAATGAGTGCTTCCCTGGGTGGCTGCTCTTTTGTATAGACATAAGGAGACGCTTCCCTTGCCTGGATCCCGAAAACAGAGATGGTTCGAGACAGGGGCCGTTGTGAGGGTCCGTGTGGTTTATGTGGGCACTTTTGGGGCACTGGCCGGTTTGGCGGGCTTTTCTGTGCCTGGAAGACAAAGGGACGATCCCTTTTCCCGCACTTTGGCTCCCAGGCACAGAGGCTCCTGGGAAGAAGAACCCCCTGTCGTCTGGTGTGGGTGTAGCGGAGCACTAGTTCCATATAGACTTTCTCCACTGGTATTCCAAGAGTTACTCAGGGGCAAGTAGTTAGCACAGGAAGAACAGCATCAGTAGCAGTATCAGGAGCAGAACTGTATCAGGAGCAGAACTGATGTTTAATGCCACATACACTGCTTTTATGCAACTCTGACATGCAAGGGAGACACCCACAGAAAATTATACATTAGCCAATCACATATTGGTTACAGCCCACACATCCCCTCCCCTCAGCCTGAGAGGTAACCCAATTAACAGTACAGTTTCAACACACATTTTTCCCCATTTTCCAGATGTACCCGAAAACCATGACATGCACCCCTAAATGACACATCCCCGTATAGCCCTGATCTGGGTGAGCAACATACTCAAATATCACCCAGTTCTGATCAGGTGTTCGGGAATTTCATGGAGGTGTTCGTTTCACCGACCGCACACATTGGCCTTGTGGTCGGTCTCTGTTCGAGAGGTAAAATACATGAAAATAGTCAACATAATGCGGCTCTGCCTGGATTCGTATGAATCCCCTTTACCGCACTTCATTAGGCGCCTGCTGGCCGATCTACTGCCGCCCAAACAGGCAAAAGCAGTGCGACTAGATGGTATGTTCAGACTGCCAAGACCCGCAACGGCGCCAGCCGCGGCACACACAGACCTAATCCTCCGCTTTCAAAATCTGCAAGACAGAGCCCAGCTGTTGGCAGCCGCGCAGGGGAAAACTCCTCTGACATTCGAGGGAGCCACGTTGTCCCTCTTTCAGGACCTAACAAAAAGCACTATGGGTTGGCGCAAGACCATGCAGCCCCTCTTACAACACCTCAGGAACAAGAGCATCCAGTATAAATGGGGAACACCGAACATGATCACCTTCACGCATCAGGACACCACTTACCGAGCTCGGAGCTACCCTGAAATGTACTCACAACTGCGCATGGCAGGCCTACTGTCACCCCCTCAGACCTCACCCAACTGGACCCAGCTGCGGTCGCCGACTTCATCCCAGGGGCTTCCACCCGATCCATCTGTGCCAAGGGTTGCTGTGGCTCCGCAAGGGCCCTCCTGAAACTGTCGCTTTCTCGGGTCTCACATCTCGCTTTTGCACCTGCCTGTTCGAGCTGGCTTTACCCCTTTGACGAGGTCGTCATGTGGGTTGCTCATAGGTGCCCCCGCAGTTCCAGCAATCAGTCTCAGTTTACTATTGCTCTCTTGAAGGTCGCATGAACCTGGCCCCGAGAGGGACCTCTGGTGGTGTCGACCGCTCATGGTAGTGAGTGTGGAGGGGGCTACTCTGTCTCCCCGCCTGGCGGCTTGTGGTGTGCTCCTTGGCAACGTTTTTAGTGGTTTCTCAGGCGTTTAGGGTCTCATGCAGGCTTTCAGTTTCACCCAGAAGGCAGTAAAGATGCTGCTCAGCCGGAGCTCCGTTTTGCGCCATGCGTTGTGTGGGTTGGCGGTGTGGTGAGCACCTGCCATTTTGGGAACCACAGTAACGGTTGGCTCGGGGCTCCACGGAGCTTTCACTGTCTCACTGCTTTGCCGGGGGATCATGTGGGGGTAGACCGGGATGACCCCCACCGGTCCAGAGTGGGGAAACAAGGGCTTACTTCCAGATACCCGGCTCAGTGCTGCTGCACCTGCCATGTTTGTTGGACTCACGATTGTTGCGGGTAAGTATTGCTCGATGTGTTGCTTGAAAGGTGTCATTCTGTTCACCTTGTTTCCCTCTCTCGTTTGGTGGCCTTTTAATCTCGATTGAGTGCCGTTTTGAGAGTGAAAGTCAGCTTTAAATGCCGCGTTCAGCAGGAGCTGCTGAGATGAGCATCCTCACAGCTCTGCGGTCAGGCCCTGCCCCCATCAGATGTTATTTTAAGGCTGCATTGTAGAATACATTTTTCATAACTACCGAAAGGAAACATAATTTTCTAATATCTGTCCATCCTTCTGAGAAAATATATAACTCCCTAATGTCATCTAACGCACATGACATTTCTTCATTACAATATATTTATTTTCAATCTGCCAAAAAATATCTTACATTTTGGCCTTTTTATATGTTACAAAAAGGATAACTCACTGGCTGAACTTTCATTAAGCTCTCCCCCTGCTTCTGCATAAAAGGAGGGGTGATATCACTTCAACGGATTGTTTGACTCATAGGAAGGCAATGGATCTCAGACGGCAGCCAGCACTTGGACGGAACAAGTTCATGAGAAAAAAAAGTTAATGGAAACATCCCAATAAAGTCCAATAATTTTTCACAGTCCACCTCACAAGTGAGATCACGCCAAGTCAGTCCAGTTCCTTTTGGTGTGTTGGTCTACTCTATATGAATCTTAATCTAGGTGAAGATTTATCATACTTATAGTTTATTTATTTCTCATTTGTTTCCGTAATTAGTTTATGTTATACCAAGCTCGGTTATTTAGTTTTGTTTATTTTTTCAAGTATTTCATTAACAGAACTCTGTTTTTTTCTACCTTGCTTGGTATGGAGACATTTATTGAACAAAAAGAATAGCTAAAGTGCACCTGTCATAATACACAGAACAGGTTTAATTTTAAAGAGCGTTACATTTCATCTACACATTGTGCAGGCAGAAATGCTAGCATATATATAATTGTTTTAATTTAATGAACTTTAAAATTGTGTCTTTTCCATCAACAGTCAATTAATACTTGGCATTGACCTCTCTAAGCAAAAGATGGAGTGACGGGGAGAGCAGGAGAACCCTAATCCATGCGGTTCTTCTGCGTTCCATCACAGTGATATTCCTCCAGGAATTGTGTCTTATAGTTGTAGAAGTAGAGTATGAAGTTCTGACATGTGCTGGTAGTGAAGCTTCCATTTGGAGAAGATTGCTCTGCTTGGGGAAGTGACCTCAAGCAGGGTCAATCGTTACCCAAAAGGTGCGGCAGCATGGTTGGACATGAAAATTGTTGTTACAGTAATGCTGTCCTGGAGAAAGGGTCAGAAGGTAAGTATAACTAGAACAGCTTTTCATGGTACACGATACATTTACTGCATGACTGAAAACTGTACCGAAACCAGTAGGACCATCCCGATTTCAGGCTCCTGTTACTTTACAGGCTAAACCACTTCCCGGGATTTTTTGAAGTTGTGTTCACGTATACCCTATATGTAGCATATATGTACTTATGACATCTGAAAAATTAAATTAGATGTATAAGTCCACACCACTGTATTCAGTGGCTACATACCGGGGTCGCAGGGGTCGCGGCTGCGACCGGGCCCGGCCCACCAGGGGGCCCGGCCACCCCTGCGACCCGGTATGTACGCCCAGGGCCAGCCTCTTCCCCTGGGGGGCCCAGGAGCCGACCACCCCAGCGCCCCCCGAGGCTGGCCCTGCTGACCCCGGCGGGCGGGCTGTCTGTCTCGGTGGCCGGCGCGCGAGGGAGCACTCAGTGCTTCCTCTTCAGCTCCCTCGCGCACCGCACTGATACCGGAGCCGGAAGATGACATCATCTTCCGGAGCCGGCATCCCCACGCGGCGCGCGAGGGAGCTGAAGAGGAAGCACTGAGTGCTCCCTCGCGCGCCGGCCACCGAGACAGACAGCCCGCCCGCCGGGGTCAGCACCACTGGACCCCAGGGAATCCCCCCCAGCACTGAAACGGCTATGTTTTCAGCTGCAGGGTTAAAACTAGCGGTACCTGGCACCCAGACCACTTCATTGAGCCGATGCGATCAGGGTGTCTGTAGTGGTCCTTTAAGTGTGTGTGCATACCGCGGTCGCGGGGTCGCAGCCCTGCAACCCCTGCGACCAGGTGCCCGCCGCCATGTGTTGCGGCCCCGACCCGCGCCGAGTAAGCGCGGGGGGGCCCATGGATCATGTGTACGCCACTGACTGTATTCCTGTTTATCCTGGAATAGAATGCCTCCATTTTGTCTCCCCGTTAGTCCTTGTTAAAAGCTCTAACATTTTGTACATGTCAGTCAGCACAAATAGAGCAAAGGGATAAGAAAAAACCTTTTGGCCACCTACGTCGCAGAGTAAATAAACAAATATATGTTGCTGAATGCAATCATTGATTGTTTTATGTGTCCTGGTTTTTCTGCATCCACAGACAGCACAATAACATCTTAAACAACTAAGAAAAAAATTATATGATTTGTATTCAGTGTAAAAAAGGTGTGGAATGGGCAAATTTACACAATATTTAATTGTTACGGAACCATCACTAAGTCTAAGCCCTCATTTCCAACAACACCCCTAAATAGCAGCAACATCTTAGAACTCCAAGAGAATTTGCAAGAAGGTCTCAGAACAAAGTATTAAAACAATACTACTAATATATAGAATAATAAAGTAACTGTATGGGTAAAATTTAGTATATTCTTATTTATTCTCTTGTTCATCCCTTTTCTTGTATTTTATCATTTAAACCTTAAATCATCGATGTCCTAGCAGCTTAAATATCTTATTGTATTCTTCATTTCTCACCTCCTCTGCAACCTTATCATTGCCCACTTCTCATCTTGGCCGGAGAAGAGAACCAATCAAATCGCAGTAACGATTCTCCATGAGAATCATTCCTACGTTGGTCGAGTAGGTGGTAGAGGTCTGGGAACCTGGTCCCTACCGCCCACTAGTGGGCGTTTCAGGATTCCAGGTGGGCGGTAGGGATTTCCTCATTTTGAGAGATTGGGCGGGCGTGCGGGTGTGAGCCAGCGGTACCCGTGCGACCAGGTACCGCCTACAACATTTGTGGCCTGGGCCGCCGTCCAAGGGGTCCATCGGGTGGCCCATGCTGTCAGGGCCACCCGATGGATGTGGATTGTAAGGGGGCCCACAGAGCTGGGAGGAAGTCTCCCAGCTCTGGGACGTCACTCCTCCCAGCTAACACACAGACCGCCGGGAGGAAGACCAGGGAGTCAGAGTAGGAACTCTGACTCCCATCCACCTGAGCCACCACTGGACCCCAGGGAATGTCACCCTCCTGGACCTAACAGGGTAGGAAACAGGAGGGTGACTAAAATATTTTGTGTGTGTTTGTTTGTGTGTATGTGTCTTTGTATGTATGTCTTGTGTGTGTGTGTGTGTATGTGTCTTTGTATGTATGTGTGTCTTATGTATGTGTCTTTGTCTGTATGGCTTGTGTCTGTATATATGTATGTATGTATGTGTTGTGTGTGTATGTGTCGTTGTATGTATGTGTGTCTTGTCTGTCTGTATGTGTGTATGTGTCTTTGTATGTATGTCTTATGTGTGTGTCTTTGTATGTGTATGTCTGTGTGTGTGTGTCTGTATGCATGTGTGCCTGTCTGTTTGTATGTATGTGTCTTGTGTGTGTGTGTGTGTCTGTATCTGTGTATGTGTTCGTGTCTGTATGTATGTGTGCCTGTCTGTTTGTATGTATGTGTCTTTGTATGTGTGTCTTGTGTGTGTGTGTGTGTGTCTGTATATGTGTCTTGTGAGTGTGTCTTTATGTATGTATGTATGTATGTGTGCCTGTCTGTTATTGTGGGCTGTAGTAAGTATTAGTAAGTGGGCTACCTAGCTCAGCCTTCCTACTGGGCATTGCTATAAGGAAGGTTAAAAAACAGAAAAAAGGAAAAAAAAGGTGGGGAGGGTAATTGAGGAGGCAGAGGAGGGGAGCTAACGCACAGATGAGAAATCATATTATGAGCAAACAGAGAAGTCGTCTGAATATCACCGAAAGAGGAGACCTTCGTTTGTTCCTTACGAAAATCGAACCAGATATCAAATATTTAGTCTCGCAGCATCAACCTCAAGGATCTCATTAATCACTAGTAAAGGCAGTTTCAATTTACTTTATTGTTTTCTCATTAAACTTTAAAAAGTTAAAAACACTATAAACATGCATTAAGTAGAAATAAAAAGATAAATGTACCCTCCTTTCTAAAAAATATTCTGCACTTGCGCGAAAACTGGTGGGCGGTAAGGAAATTTTTCCATCAAGAAAGATGCATTAGTGGGCGGTAGGTAGAAAAAGACTACCACTGCTTTACACAAATGGTACAATCCAAAATACATACATATATATAAAAATGTGGGATACATGTGAACATCAAAATACAACAATAATATTCCCATTTTTCAAACTGAAACAAAAATCAGAGAAGGTGCCATACATAGGTCCCATGGTAGTTGGGTGGAAGGAACAATGTTACAAATAAATGGGAAGAGCAGACTACTAAAAAAAAACAGGGAATAGCATTGACTTTGTGGGCTAAACAACAAATTCTGACTTTTGAAATTTCTGACTCAGAATTTTTCCAGGTTTCCAATTCTCTAGTTTTCCAGACTTCCAATTCTCTTGTCACAAAGCAATTCCCAGTTTAGTAAATAAACTCCATATTGTCCTTCAGACATGTGCCCTAGAATTTAAAGCTGCTTGTGCTTTGGCACTGAGAGTGGCAGTCAAAGGTGGCCATTTTAATTGAGACCCACATACCTCTTAACACTCTAAAGATACAAAATGTGAGTGGGGGATATGGGGCTATTCTGAGGATCTGTAGGTAACCTGCTTAATTTATTCAACTAAAATGAAATTTAGAAGAAAAAAAACACTATTTTATTTATTTCTAAACACATTTATTGCAGTGTAAAGACACATTGCTGTAAGTAGTATTGCTGTGGAGGCGGAGCTCCTAGAAAAGACGGACATTAGGGTAGAAAAAGGGGATTGAGGGATTTGGGCCAAAAACAGGGACAGTCCTTCCTAAATGGGGATACTTGGGAGGTATGCAATGTGATATCCTTAAATAATGGTCCTAAAGGACATGTTTGAGGAAAGCTGATTAGCACATGGACCCTATGCTTAGAGACCTTAGAGTCCTATCTGTTAGTGGGAGGACCTATTGTACCTGCTATAACTGGCACAACATACCATAGAGAGGAATCACAGAGCTGCAAGATGCTCTGTGACATAGAGACAGCAGGCATCCTGTCCAACAAATCTCCAGCACTCTATGATACAGGAAGCAGATGCACATGGTCTTTGTGTAAACTATAGCAGCAGGAAGCCCCAGAGAAGGTTAGAGTATGTAAAACAATAATGCAATTTAATTACATAGCAATAAAAGTGACATCACCCCTTCTATAGAGCATTAATGCACAACAAGTAAATCTAATAGGCTGAGTATGTTTAAGATGTTTATATTCCCTTCCTATATTATACCATAGCATGGATTTTGTTATTTACTACAGTGAGAATTGTCAGGGCTTCAAAATGCATTTAATGCCAGAATAGCCAAACCTGAAAAACTGTTTATTGTATTTTAGCGATGCTCCAAGTTCAGCTACATTTGCCTTAAATTTAAACCTCAGCGCTGGCTTCGTCTCCAGCTTCTACGACATCAGCGTGATGGGGAGCCTAATGCACATGAGCGTTGAGCTCCGCTCATTCACTAGTCCTTATCAGTAGGAAAGCATTGAATCAAATTGAGTTAAGTAAGATTTTATTTTTTACGTTCATTTTATTGTGCAGTATAAAAGTTGTCAATACAATGGTGAAACATTCGCATGTTCCAGAGAACAGCACTGACGTCGGCTCTTGGCAGCTGAAGAGGACCGTATGGAAGAGGATGGTGGCGGCTTTAATGGACAGGTTCAGGTTAAGTACAACTTACCTTCCCCTGCACCTCTTAGACACCAACACCAAGTGGCAATGTTACTGTTGGGGGTCTTTGCAAATTAGACAGTGACAGAGTTGCTTTAACCCCTTGCACATTGCCTAAGTGAAGGCGAGACTCAATTTGAGGTGAACCCCTATTTTAATTAAATGATCTCCCAAAGAAATGGATGTTGACAAGGTATTTTTTACCCTAACCACACATGGGTGACGCCCCGCGTAGTTTCCTCTTTTAGCGGATTTTATTTGAACGATTTTCCCAAGTTATCTGTGGAATAATATGAGGATTATGCAACACAGTTCACATTTGTTTCACCTTATCTCCAGATAATCAGCAATGTGATTTAACGGTTAGGATAAATATATTACAATGCTGCATTGTCATGTAGGTAGAGGGGGAGATTAAAGGACCACTATATGTACCCAGACCACTTCAGCTTAATGAAGTGGTCTGGGTGCCAGGTCCCTCTAGGATTAACCCTTTCTGCTGTAAACATAGCAGTTTCAGAGAAAGTGGCTAGCCGCTGTCTCATTGACAGCCGCTAGAGGCGCTTCCGTGCTTCTCACTGTGATTTTCACAGTGCGAAGACGCCAGCGTCCATAGGAAAGCATTGAGAATGCTTTCCTATGCACTGGTTGAATGCGCGCGCGGCTCTTGCCGCACATGCACATTCAGCCGATGATGGCGAAAAGGAGGAGGAGAGTTACCTGCGCCGAGGGAGCCAGGCGGGAGAAAACAGGTAAGATTTAACACCCTTCCACCCCCTAGAGCCCAGCAGGAGGGGAGCCCTGAGGGTGGGGGGGACCTAGATACCCTATAGTGCCAGGAAAACGCGTATGTTTTCCTGGCACTATAGTGGTCCTTTAAAGGACAGAGTGCGAACGTGTTACTATACAGAAAGGGTAGTAGATACATGGAATGGCTTTTCAGTTGCAGTAGTAAATGCAAGCACGGAGAATCGTTTAGATAATTTTGAAGCTGACACTCAATTTCAATCAATCGTCCTTACATTAATTTTAGACAAGAATTAAATAGTTCCATCACCATCAGTAGATTCACAGGATGGCCAACCCTGCTGTCATTCAAGGAGCTGAGCTTGTAACATCTAGAGCTGCTAGATCTGACATGTTTTCCAGGACGTATCCATTTCCTTCATGCTGATCAGAAACATAAGTGCTGACCCCAAGTATGCATTATTCATATGCTGCAAAATAAATATCCATTTTTTAAACAAAATGAAGACAGATCCTTTGGGAGCCTTTTGTTGATTGATCCTTTGTGTAGCTTACACATTTGGTATAATACAAGGCAGCACTTTTCATGTATTGCCAAGTTGTGTCCAGGTTATGAATGTTGGGCAGTAACTTAGAATGGTTGACACTCTAGAATGGCTAAAAGACTGGCTCAGAATCATGGCAGGAATGATTTAGGTACCCTGAGTAAGGCAAGTGTGCTGTAAATGTATACAATGTAGAAGCTTTGTATTGCAGACAAAGACTGAAGAACAGGTATAGACACTGTGCCAAATGGAAAAAGGAGAGGTTGGTGTAGGGGGGTGATCAAATAGGGGTGTTGTTTTTAAAAAAGTGACTGAGAGAAGTGATGTTGGGAGGGGCAATTCCAGCCCTCAAGGGTATAATCCTGGCGCCTGCAGTTTATATAAAGAACAATGACCCAGTGAATCTTAGCGTACAGTTATGCAGGAGATCACCAGCTGAGCACGCCAACATTCATTGCATGCCAGGCTATTAGGACCACACAGCTACGACACTGCTAGGGTGATTATCAATACAGGAAATATGTATGGCACACGATCTTACTATAGCAGTCTCCGTCAGGCAGGATCAGAAGATATTATCTGTTTATCCAGAGTCACCGAACTAGAGGCTTATTTTTAAGGTTGAATACATGTATTGTGACTAGGTGAATAGAAGAATAATTACAAAAAAAATATATATGCACAGCAAATAAACTGTTGCCCAGCAAGGTTTTATGGGATATGTAGTTCAGCTGTTCTATTCTTCAGATAAGGGGAAATGCAACCGTGACCTTAGCTTCTAGCTACTGCGCCACTCTTTAGTTTTATGGGTGAAGCTGTTAAGTGAAATGCGCATGACTGCAGCCTAGCCAGCTGTGAAACAGCCAGTCAGAGAGGTGGCATCTTTGTTATAATTCACTTGTTATTGATGATGTTGAAATACATAGCAATGTGCACATGACATATCCGTGTTCTTTACAATAAACTGAAACATATAGCATGGCACGGTTTCACATTAAAAACGTGTGTATGTTGTAACAATGGCTTTCTGTACAAATAAAAAGAAGTCATCTAACCGACTTAAACCGCAGTGAATCAGGGGTCTTTAGCATGGAATGAATATTAAAGAATTTCCCTTGCAGTGTAATTATCAAAGGCAGTACATAGAACCCCATTTCCATCTAGGGGAGGGAGCAGCTTTTAATGTGCGCACATCGTAAAAAGTATAGCGTCCATCTTTGACCTCTGTCACTGCCAAGTGCTCTTATAGCTGTAGAGATTTTTGCAAGGCTCTGCACAGTTATAATGCACTCAGGTATATCTACTAAATGGATCATTCAAAGTGAATTTTGAACGTAAAGTAATACAAATGTGTATATTCCTGACACTATAGTGCTGGTGTTGCTGTTTAGATCACACTGAAAAGGTGTTTTTACTCACCGTCACTTCTATGCTGCGCCGGTCTTGCCGTGGTTGGCCCCGCCTCCATGGCTGAGATCATCAATCTTGACAATCTCAGCCAATCCAATGCTTGCATTGTGTGGTGCCAATCAGCATCTTCTCATTAAGAGGCATTGAATCATATCTCTATGGAGAATGTTCAGCGCATCCATGCAGAGCGTGGAGATGCTGAACGTATGTGCAGCACTAGACCAGGAAGCACCTCTAGTGCTTGTAGTGATTGCACCTAAAGATGTTATGAGGCAGTAATCTAAACAGTGCCTTTTCTCTGAAAAGGCAGCGTTTACAGGGCTGAGCTGCAGGGACAGACTATAGACACCAGAACCTCTAAATTAAGCTGTGGTGGTTCTGGTGACTATAGTGCCTCTTTATGACTAAAATAACCAAACTGGAAAAATCTCTCTTAGAAATGCCTCCAGTTCAGCTATTTTGGCCCTAAGTTTGAAATTCACTTTAGTATAACGGTGTGTATCAATATTTGTCTGCAAGTAGTCAGGCAGTAGAGACTTGTACCGAGTGCCACTGTTTTATTCACTTAGCCAGGAATTACTGAGAATTCCCCAAAAATAAAAAAGTCAGAGCTTTCATTTTGGCCCATTTTAATAAATTTACTTTTCCTGTGTCAATATGTCATAATTTTATAAAAAAAAATCTTTGCATACTACAAGGTAGCACTTTTCATGTATGAAGCATCAGTATAAAGCAGTGATTAGTGTTTAGGAAAATGAGCTGGATCTGACATTTCTGGTTGTTTGTGTAACACAAGGACAGTGATAGCAGAGGGAGGGAGGTGAAAGGCTGGGAGGGATGGGGCATTTACCGGCCTGTGTGCAGTGTAAGTGCAGGAATTGCAGGGGAAGCAGTTATACTGACTGGGTGGAGGTATATTTTGTGCGTGAAGGAATTGCAGGGAGCTGGAGCACAGTTAGAAGAGAAAAATATTCTCTCATATAATTCCTCCCTATCTATCTTCTCTACTTCTGCCAACGCAAACACTGACAGATTCGGTCATATGAGGAATTTACCAAACTAGGCAGAAGAGTGTGTCGAGGGCAGACAGACCGTACAGCCCATATTCTGCCCTGTATCACGGACCGAACATTCTCCATCTTACACTGCAACATCCAACACTATCATTATATTTATATATATTGTTATAAAATGAACACACTGCGCTGTATAATGATACTGAGTATCTATACACTGATAATGAACACACTGCGCTGTATAATGATACTGAGTATCTATACACTGATAATGAACACACTGCGCTGTATAATGATACTGAGTATCTGTACACTGATAATGAACACACTGCGCTGTATAATGATACTGAGTATCTATACACTGATAATGAACACACTGCGCTGTATAATAATACTGAGTATCTATACACTGATAATGAACACACTGCGCTGTATAATAATACTGAGTATCTATACACTGATAGTGAACACACTGCGCTGTATAATAATGATGAGTATCTATACACTGATAATGAACACACTGCGCTGTATAATAATACTGAGTATCTATACACTGATAATGAACACACTGTGCTTTATCATAATACTGAGTATTTATACACTGATAATGAACACATTGCACTGTATAATAATTCTGAGGATCTATACACTGATAATGAACACACTGCACTGTATAATGATACTGAGTATATATACACTGATAATGAACGCACTGCGCTGTATAATAATACTGAGTATCTATACACTGATAATGAACACACTGCGCTGTATAATAATACTGAGTATCTATACACTGATAATGAACACACTGCGCTGTATAATAATACTGAGTATCTATACACTGATAATGAACACACTGCGCTGTATAATAATACTGAGTATCTATACACTGATAATGAACACACTGCGCTGTATAATAATACTGAGTATCTATACACTGATAATGAACACACTGCGCTGTATAATAATACTGAGTATCTATACACTGATAATGAACACACTGTGCTGTATAATATACTGAGTATCTATACACTGATAATGAACACACTGTATAATATACTGAGTATCTACACTGATAATGAACACACTGCACTGTATAATGATACTGAGTATCTATACACTGATAATGAACACACTGCGCTGTATAATAATACTGAGTATCTATACACTGATAATGAACACACTGCGCTGTATAATGATACTGAGTATCTATACACTGATAATGAACACACTGCGCTATATAATAATACTGAGTATCTATACACTGATAATGAACACACTGCGCTGTATAATAATACTGAGTATCTATACACTGATAATGAACACACTGCGCTGTATAATAATACAGTGATAATGCATAGCTTCTTCTGCTGTAACCACTGGAGGCTCAGCTTGGCCTTGTGCTTAGGGCCATTGTCATGCTTGAAATCCAAGAGCATCCCATGTGCAGTCTTCGTGCAGAAGAATGCAAGTTGTCTGCCAGTATTATCTGATAACATGCTGCATTCATCTTGCCATCAATTTTCACAAGATTCCCCGTGCCTTTAGAGCTCACAACCCCTAAAACATCAGTGAGCCACCACCATGCTTTACAGTGGGGATGGTATTCTTTTCATATAGGCCTATAGGCCTTGTTGTCCCCTCTCCAAACATAGTGCTTATGGTTGCGACTATAAAGTTCTATGATGCTCTTGTCACTCCATATTAGAGTGTGCCAGAAGCTGTGAGATGTGTCAAGGTGTTGTCGGGCATATTGTATCCAGGCTTTTTGGTGGCATTCAACCAGTAAAGGCTTCTTTCTGGCAACTCGACCATGCATCTAATTTTTGTTCGGTATCGCCGTATTGTACTCCTTGGAACAACCACACCGTCTTTTTCCAGAGCAGTCTGTATTTCTCCTGAAGTTACCTGTGGGTTTTTCTTTGTATCCCAAACAATTCTTCTGGCAGTTGTAGCTGAAATCTTTCTTGGTCGGCCTTACCTTGGCTTGGTATCAAGGGATCCCCAAATTTTCCACTTCTTAATAAGTAATTGAACAGTACTGACTGACATTTTCAAGGCTTTGGATATCTTTTTATATCCTTTTCCATCTTTATAAAGTTCCATTACCTTGTTATGCAGGTCTTTTGACAATTCTTTTCTGCTCCCCATGGCTTAGTATCTAGCCTGCTCAGTGCATCCAAGTGACAGCTAACAACGCATTGACAATTTATACACCGACATTAATTGCAATTTAAAAGGCCACAGGTGTGGGAAATTAACATGGAATTGACATTTTGTCTCACCTGTGTGACCTGTGTTTGTTACCTTGTGTGTCTGTAACAAGGCAAGGCATTCAAGGGTATGTAACTTTTAATTAGGGTCATTTGAGTGATTTCTGTTATCATTATGATTTAAAAATGAGCCAAACAACTACAATATGTGATAATACATGGCTTCATATGATTACTATCCTTCACTAAAATAATTTATTTTTCATGATCAGTCATATTTTCAAAATCAATGCCAAAAAGTTACAATTTCTACCAGAGTATGCAAATTTTTTAGCACAACTGTATACACTGATAATATACATACTGCACTATATAATGATATAGACCAGGGGTAGGCAACCTTTTAGCAGCACTCTGCCGATATAGGATTGTGATGTCCCGTAGCGTGCCGGTCCTATTTTTTTTAAATTGAGGTGTGTATGCTGCCGTATTCTGCTTGTGTTATTTATACTGTAATTGCTTTGTATTGTATTTGTGCGTATATGAGCTATTATATTGTATATGTTCATGAGTAGTTTATGGTATTGTGTATGATACATATGAATGTGGGCTGTGTATGGGGGCACCTTGTGGAATTGTGTGTGTGGATGGATATGTCACATTGTGTGTTTGGTAGTGTGTGGGGGCTGTTTGGGGTATTGCATGTGAGATGCTGCATGTGGGGTTGTGTGCATGTATGTGGATTGTTAATGGTGTTGCGTTTGTGCGGATTGTGTGTATGTTTGTGTGTGGGCTGTCCGTATTATTTGTATGAGGGGAGGGTTATTCTGCACTTCTATGTATATCTAGCAGTGTGTGTGGCTTCCCTGGGTTCCAGTGGGGACCAGGCCAGCCAGGTACAGGTCAAAGACAGGAGCTGCAACAACAACTGCGAGCTGCTCTAATACTGTGTGGATTCCCAGTCACAAGTGCTGGAATTAAGTGCTCTGAGATCACTTCCTCTACGTGCTGCAATGCATAAATTGAGGATTGTCCTTCACCACCTCTTTGTATTAGCAGATATCTGAAGCCTTGAGTGCCGTGCAAAGGCACCTCGAGTGCCGTGCATGGCACTAGTGGCGTAGGTTGCCTACCCCTGATATAGACTACCTACAGTGAGGGGAAAAAGTATTTGATCCCCTGCTGATTTTGAACATTTGTCCACTGACAAAGAAATGATCAGTCTATAATTTTAATGGTAGGTGTATTTTAACAGTGAGAGACATAAAGTTATAAATTGATTTGCATGTCAGTGAATAAAATAAGTATTTGACCCCCTATCCATCAGCAAGATTTCTGACTCCTAGGTGTCTTTTATACAGATAACGAGCTGAGATTAGGAGCACTCTCTTAAAGGGAGTGCTCCTAATCTCAGCTCTTTACCTGTATAAAATACACCTGTCCACAGAAACCATTAATCAGTCAGATTCCAAACTCTCCACCATGGCCAAGACCAGAGAGCTGCCCAAGGATGTCAGGGACAAGATTGTAGACCTACACAAGGCTGGAATGGGCTACAAGACGATCGCCAAGCAGCTTGGTGAGAAGGTGACAACAGTTGGTGCTATTATTCACAAATGGAAGAAACACAAAATAACTGTCAGTCTCCCCCGATCTGGTACTCCATGCAAAATCTCACCTCATGGAGTGTCAATGATCATGAAAACGGTGAGGAATCAGCCCAGAACTACACTGGAGGATCTGTAATCCTGTAGCGCCCGCAAGGTTCCCTGCTCAAGAAAGCAAATGAATAGGCTTGTCTGAAGATTGGCAATGAACATCTGAATGATTTAGAGGAGAACTGGATGACAGTGTTGTGGTCAGATGAGACCAAAATTGAGCTCTTTGGCATCAACTCAACTCGCCATGTTTGGAGGAAGAGGAATGCTGCCTATGACCCCAAGAACACCATCCCCACCGTCAAACATCGCGTTGGAAACATTATGTTTTGGGGGGGTTTTCTGCTAAGGGGACAGGGCAACTGCACCGCATCAAAGGGATGATTGATGGGGCCATGTATCCTGAAATCTTGGGTGAGAACCTCCTTCCCTCAGCCAGGGCATAGAAATTGGGTCGTGGATGGGTATTCCAGCATGACATGACCCAAAACACACAGCCAAGGCAACAAAGGAGTGGCTCAAGAAGAAGCACATTAAAGTCCTGGAGTGGCCTAGCCAGTCTCCATACAAAATCTGTGGAGGGAGCAGAAGGTTCGAGTTGCCAAACGTCAGCCATGAAACCTTAATGACTTGGAGAGGATCTGCAAAGAGGAGTGGGACAAAATCCCTCCTGAGATTAATGCAAACCTGATGGTCAACTACAAGAAACATCTGACCTGTAATTGCCAACAAGGGTTTTTCCACCCAGTACTACGTCGGTGGGGTCAAATACTTATTTCACTTATTGAAACACAAATCAATTTATAACTTTTTTGACGTATGTTTTTCTGGAATTTTTTTTTGTTATTCTGTCTCTCACTGTTAAAATACACCTACCATTAAAATTATTGACTGATCATTTCTTTTTCAGTGGGCAAACATTCAAAATCAGCAGGGGATCAAATACTTTTTTCCCTCACTGTATACACTGATAATGAACACATTGCGCTATATAATAATACTAAGTATCTATACAGTGATAATGAACACACTGCACTGTATAATAATACTGAGTATCTATACACAGATAATGAACACACTATAATGATACTGAGTATCTAGGCATTATGTAAAACCTTTCTTTATATCCTCCCAGGAAAGAGATGTAAAAAGAGCAGTGCGTTTATAATCCCAGCTGCCTTTTCACAGTTAATCCTTTTGTTTATGGTACATGTCAGTCTCGGCCCCCTTACTCTGACTCCTGTACCCAGAAACACTTGTTAATATCCCTAAACGTGGTGAGTCTGCCAGCAGTGATTCACAGTCCTAAGAATAACTTGGATCCACAATAAGTGGGAAGACTCCCGAGAGTTTCTCACGCAGGAATGTTCTGCAAAACTATTTCTATTAATTGCCAGCTGCTAATTAAAAACTTGGGCACAAGTATGCATGGAAGATTGAGAGAAGGGCTGGGGGGTGTAGGGGTTCTGATTGTGAAAGTAGACGCAGAGAATCTATTCACACCTGGCTCTGTCCCCCTGTATAGACCGGAGTTCACCAATAGCCTTATATAGTAGAGGCATTTCAGGGACGAGCACAGCCAACCTTATATGGTGTGTGCTTTCTGCTAGAACAGAATATGCACTCTCACAGCTCTGCAGGACGCGCTGGCATGAGCAGGGTTAAATGAGCTAAGCAATCTTCATAAGGGCTCCAAGATTTCATTCCAGAATCTAGTGCAAGGAACCATCAGTATACCTGTGCTGGGTACTCTACATTGCATGGTGCGTTGGCTGGCATTGTCTGAACTGCACCTTTACTGACTTAATGGAACTTGTCACTCACTGCTCTGCAATAGGAGGGACAGTCTCCTTGTCCCATAGCTTCCTCTTTTGTGACCATGTGTGTTTGGGGGAGTCCTATAGTTCCCTCCTGTCTGTGTCACCCTGTGCTTGGAGGGACAGACTCCATGTCCCATAGCTCCCTCCTGTCTGTGTCACCCTGTGCTGGGAGGGACAGACTCCATGTCCCATAGCTCCCTCCTGTCTGTGTCACCCGGTGCTGGGAGGGACAGACTCCATGTCTCATAGCTCCCTCCTGTCTGTGTCACCCTGTGCTGGGAAGGACAGACTCCATGTCCCATAGCTCCCTCCTGTCTGTGTCACCCTGTGCTGGGAGGGACAGACTCCATGTCCCATAGCTCCCTCCTGTCTGTGTCAAACTGTGCTGGGACGGACAGACTCCATGTCTCATAGCTCCCTCCTATCTGTGTCACCCTGTGCTGGGAGGGACAGACTCCATGTCTCATAGCTCCCTCCTGTCTGTGTCACCCTGTGCTGGGAGGGACAGACTCCTTGTCCCATAGCTCCCTCCTGTCTGTGTCACCCTGTGCTGGGAGGGGCAGACTTTATGTCCCATAGCTCCCTCCTGTCTGTGTCACCCTGTGCTGGGAGGGACAGACTCCATGTCCCATAGCTTCCTCCTGTCTGTGTCACCCTGTGCTGAGAGGGACAGACTCCATGTCCCATAGCTTCCTCCTGTCTATATAATGCTGCAGTGCCAGGGATTCATAGGGGCATATTTGCCCCATAAACCTAAGTTCTCTCTTGACTGGTCAGTGATTACGAGGATGAATAAAATAATCAGGGTTTACGTTTCTCACCCCCTCCACAAAAATATGCATACCACATGGCAAAATAAGAAATATACTTAAATATGTATATAAAATTGAACAAAAACACATTAATAGTAATAGTATATGCCCCTTGTGGATAGGGGACCAATTCACAAATCCTGATAGCTCCCACTGTTTGTGTCATTGTGTAGTGATATCTATCCATACATCCATCTATCCACCCATCCATTATGACAATGGAAAGATAGACTTTTTGACAGAAGATGTTCATATGGAGGTGACAGCTATCTCCTTATTTATTTGTAGACTTTATTAATTCTAATCTTCACTCTCTTTTATTTACTATTAATATTATTTTCAAAATAATGGGTCTTTTTGTATAGCCTGCTTCATGACTGAGGTAGCTACCACTTCATTTACGCATCCCACCACATACGTCTATAAATGTCTGCTTAGAAATTAAACTATCCCTTCCTAGCGCTTGTTTCCATTTTCCATGACACATAGCCCTCTAGGTCAATGTGGACCACATACTGAAGTTAAACATGAAGCATTAAAAGCATTAAAAGCTCTGCCAGCTGTTTGCTCAGGACATCGTTGTCCAAAATATTAATACGAATTTGTGTGCTTTGCTGTGTCTCTTAGCATCAGAAGTCCGGGCCCGTCTCCTGGCACTTGACTAATGCCGAAGTGAACTTGGGCATCACCTATCCATTTTTGGATAACAGTTATAGTCTAGGATAGCTGAGCTTGACTTCACCTAATACTCTCAGCCTTTAATTCCAATCTAAAGTTTGATGGCTAATGGAGTCGTTAATTTGTGCACCAGCCAAGGTAGTTGTTGGAAGAGTCTATTTTTTCTTCAAACTGTTAGAAAACTGACACTCTTTGCGTCATAACCACCATAATAAGCTGTTGTGGTTCTGGTTGTTAAAGTGCTCTTTTAAGCCATTGGACAACACTGACCTATACATATTTTTTCTGACCATTGCTCCTACGATGACAGTAGATAACGCTTTCTCCTTTTATGAGCAGTGGTGAATCATTAAAGGAGGAGACCCACGTTGATGTTGAAAGGCGTACTTGAAGACCAGTTTTGTATAGAAATCACGATCTAGAATGCAAGTTCTTTCTAGAACCGTCCTTGTTTCCTGTCATTACTATACACCTGAAGCTCACACATTTCACTTATACACCACACCCCCACCAATCTATGCACAAATGCACAAACTTTTGAGATCAATAAGCTAAATAGGTACCAAAACCCCCAGGGTGGCTGAGACTGATAACTAATACATTTCCTGCAAGATGATTCCACGTTCCACTTTGTTTTATGGATCACAATGGCCTCTACATTGAACTTGGGTAAACTTGGCTGACACACCTATCGTGACACATTAAATAAATAGGCCATCAATATATTTTTTTTACAGGAGTAGAACTTAGAGGGAACTTTCTGGGAACTCAACTGGAATCAGAGGCTCAGTAGAGTGAACTCTAAATTATTAATATGGAATATAAGTCTTAGGAAGCAGAGCCGTATAGTGGGATAGGTGTGTTATTGAAAGTCTATTGGGATGTTATAAAGAGTAAGTCCAGGGGTTGTGCAGATAGACTATATAATATTCAGTAAAAGAACAAACTGTGCTAATGCATGTTGATCTATATTGGTGACCATGCATGACTTTAAAGGACTTTCAATGTATATTAAATAAACAGTTTAGTGTCATTCTACTCAGAATCTAATATGTACTTAGCAATGAGAATTGTCTCCATTGAGTAGAAGCTCTGAGCTCTCCGGTTTGTTTGATCTGTGTTGCCAAATAGAAAGACCGTTTATACACTTGGAATCTTTTAATACATACAACATCTGTTACACAATCACATAGGAAAATAGTTGTTTCTTTTATCCACGTGTATTCTCTAATCTTCTTATTATTTCACAGAAAGTGAATTCAAATATGACATCATTGTTTCCTGCTTTATAAAACCCTTATGTTTTAATGCTGCACCGGTTACATTGGGTAAACTGCAGAAAGAATGAAACACAGCTGTGCTTGATTAGAGTGCCAGTTCTTGTGTCCACTTTGTAATAAACGTAGTGTGGGAAAATCGTAATTAGGGAAGGGAACAGGCCAGAGCTTTGCATAGAGATCGATTAATTAAATGTGCATCAGCTGCCGTGCTGGAACATAATAATGATGGATAACCTAAATAGATTGTTAGTTCCTTTGACCGGCATTTACTTTTATTTTTCAGGAGCGGAAAACGATACAGAGCAATGCTGGCTAATCTTGGTATTCCCAATGTTTGTAAACTACTTTTATCTTGATTCTCTGCAAGATTTCAGTACGCAGACATCTAGGTTGCCAACGATAGCAATCACTGATACAGAATATCAGACAAACACAAGCTAGCATTATATCAGAGGAGGCTGCCGCGAAACTCTCATACCTTATAAAGTTCACAACAACCAAAAGCATATGCCAAAAATTCATTTCCAGAGGTGGTGTGAACAGAAATTATCTGGATAGAATATATGCCCTTGTAGTCATACGCAGTGTAAACCCAAGAGCTCACGCAACAGACTGTAAACTCTTGGGATTACACTGGATTTATTACTGACTTCTGGAAAAAAAGAAGCAGAGACCTAAATGTTTTGACGCTCAAGGAGACCTGCAACTTTAGATACCTAGAGTGTAAGCTCCCACGGTCCCAAAGCAATAGACATATATGAACTGAAATGTCAGCTTTTGCTATTAACCCCTTAAGGACCAAACTTCTGGAATAAAAGGGAATCATGACATGTCACACATGTCATGTGTCCTTAAGGGGTTAAAGAGCAGGTTATATAAGCATTATAAAGTGTCATTTCAGCAATAAACACGTGTAGTGTCAGCTACGATATACAATATTATATATAGCAAAATATGTGTTCGTTAATCCAAACGGGCACTGTTACATGCCAAACTTAGAGTGTAAGCTCTTTGGTCAAATCCCTCACCTTGTTCTTGACCTCGGCGCTGAGTCCATAAGCCGGGCCCCTGATAAAGTGAGTTGTCATGGTGATAAAGTTCTGTCTTTCCTCTGTCTTCTTCCCTTGCTCCGTTAGAAGATACTGCTAAAATCTTTACTTCAACTTTTTAAATGTCTCATCCTTTGGGAGATGTGTGTCCAGAAATGGATCCAGTGATTGGATGGTGGTTGTCCAATCAGGAGGCAGAATTATCTGTGATGTCAACATGTTGGTATTAAAAAAAAAAGTGAAATATATCTATATATATATTTATATAGTGAGAGATATCGGGATTGTGTCAGATTTTCCAACTTTGGAATTTCTGGGAGTGATGCTGTGGGTAGGAGAAAGAACGTTTGTAGGGAGGGGAGTAACATGGTTAAAAATGTGGAAATAAAAAAGGATAAGGATGCAGAGCAAGTGAACGTACAGGTAGGGAGAGAGGAGAGGCACAGGGTGAATGACAGCCGGAAAGATACAGGGGAAGAGGGGAACTGAGGGAGGAGGAGAGAGAAAGGAAAAGGCAGAGACTGGAAACTAGGAAACAAGTGGTAGTAAGGAGTAAATGAGTGAGAGAGCTATCAAATGAGGGGAAAACTGGAAGTGAGATTGCAGGAAATAAGATGAGAGAGCTCAGAACGTAGGAAATTAGAAAGATAGTTAGTGCCAAAGAGGGGGGAATGCAGGAAAGAAATGAGGTGAAGGAGTGCAGGAAATAGGAAATGTAAGGAGATCAGAAGGAAGATAAGAGGGCACTCTGCAGGAAATATGAAATAGGGAGAAATAGTGCAGAATAAGGATCAAAGAAAAGAGACCAGAAGGGAGACAGGAAAACAGAGTGCAGGAAATTCTGAGGAATATTCAGTATTGGAATTAGAAAATAGGAAATGAGATTAAAGGAGAGAGGAAGGGAGACTGCAAGGCGTTTGGAATAAAAGAGTGAAGAATATAGGCAGTGAGAGAATCAAAATGCAGGATATGAGGGAGCCAGAATGAAAGATATAACAAGTGATGGTGCAGAAGATAGAAAGTGGGATTGGTATAGTACAGAAGATAGGAAGTGGGGTTAGTATAGTACAGAAGATAGGAAGCGGGATTGGCATAGAACAGAAGATAGGAAGTGGGGTTGATATAAGCAGAAGACAGGAAGCTAGAAGATAGAAAGTGGAATTGATATAGTACAGATGATAGGAAGTTGAATTGGTATAATGCAGAAGATAGGAAGTGGGGCTTCTGTAATGCAGAAGTTAGGAAGTGGGGTTGGTATAGTACAGAAGATAGCAAGTAGGATTGGTATAGTTCAAAATATAGGAAGTGGGATTGGTATAGTACAGAAGATAGCAAGTGGGGTTGGTATAGTTTCAGAACATATAAAGTGGAAATTAGTATAGTACAGAAGACATGAGGGAAATAAAGTTAGTCAGAGAGTGTTAGATAGGAAGTGAGATAGTCACTGTGTGCATGAGGGAGGAAGTAAAGAAGTCAATGTCTATGACAGGATGTTAGGAAGTCAGTGTCTATAACAGAGGAAGCTAGGAAGTCAGTGTCTATGACAAGAAGTTTGGAACACAGTGAGCATGAAAGAGTGAATCAGAATGTGTGATAGAGGCAGTATAGGGGAGGAAATTTGAGAGTCTGCAGGAGAGAGGAAGTGTGAGAGTCAATGTGCATAGGAGAGGAAGTATTGGAGAGGAAATGTGGGAGTCTGTGTTCATAATATTGTGCGTGTTGGTGTGCGTTAGAAAAAGTGAAGAAATCTGTGTGCGTTAAAGAGGAAGTGAGGAAGTCAAAACGCAGTAGAAAGAGATAGCGAAGTCATGTGCATGAGACAGAAAGTAAGCGAGACAGCGCATGAGAGGGAATGAGCAAGACAGAGCTCTTTACAGAGAGTGAGCGAGACAGCGCATGAGAAACAGAGCTCATTACAAACTTCCCCAGGAATTAGCCCTCTGATGTGAGAGAAGTATCAGACTGAGGAGGATTTGCAGAAGAGACATTGTGCAGGGAGAGGGCAGGAATGAAGATGTAAACGGCATGGGGTGCAGAGCATGCGATAGAATAATAAAAATAAAAAAACAGTGAGTTTTAAAAGTAAGAGAGAGAAAAAAGAAGGATGGAAGTAAAATGAGAAACTACAACAAACAGGAAAAAATGTGAATTGATGAAAAATTAATGGGTGGTGGTTATAGGAGAGACATTACTACAAATAATGCGACAAGGAAACATGAATGAGGAGTGAGAGGAGACGAGACAGAGAATGCTGGAGCTGCAGAGATGGAGGGGGAGGTGGGTCCACACATTCTAATAGAGGGAGGGAGTACGAGGAACAGGGATCTGACTGCGAGACAGGGCAACGGATGGACATCTTGGGGACATGAGTTGGCAGCAAAAAAATGGAGAGAATGAAAGTTAATGTATCGATACATGCCCAGAGAATCACATGAGAGAACTGTCTATAATCTCTCATACTGAGCCCTGGCAGCATCTCCAAAACTTCAGCTCATTGCATAGTTACTGTATGTATCTACCGGTACTTATAAGGACAGCTTATGTCTGGAATTCCCTCCACGCCTTTCATGTATACATCAGTATTTATTTTACTTAAATGAGTGCTTGGGATGTTAGCTCTAATCTACATTGTAACATCTTATTACAGTAACCCGGCCCCTGAGTGCCTTATTACCCTGTAACATCTTATTACAGTAACCTGGCTCCTGAGTGCCTTATTACCCTATAACATCTTATTACAGTAACCCGGCTCCTGAGTGCCTTATTACCCTGTAACATCTTATTGCAGTAACCTGGCTCCTGAGTGCCTTATTACCCTGTAACATCTTATTACAGTAACCCGGCTCCTGAGTGCCTTATTACCCTGTAACATCTTATTACAGTAACCCGGCTCCTGAGTGCCTTATTACCCCGTAACATCTTATTACAGGAACCGGCTCCTGAGTGCCTTATTACCCCGTAACATCTTATTACAGCAACCCGGCTCCTGAGTTCCTTATTACCCCGTTAAATCTTATTCCAGTAACCGGCTCCTGAGTGCCTTATTACCCCGTAACATCTTATTACAGTAACCCGGCTCCTGAGTGCCTTATTACCCTTAATTACTTATTACCCTGTAACCCGGCTCCTGAGTGCCTTATTACCCAGTAACCCGGCTCCTGAGTGCCTTATTACCCTGTAACATCTTATTACAGTAACCGGCTCCTGAGTGCCTTATTACCCTGTAACATCTTATTACAGTAACCCGAGCTCCTGAGTGCCTTATTACCCTGTAACATCTTATTACAGTAACCCGGCTCCTGAGTGCCTTATTACCCTGTAACATCTTATTACAGTAACCCGGCCCCTGAGTGCCTTATTACCCTGTAACATCTTATTACAGTAACCGGCTCCTGAGTGCCTTATTACCCTGTAACATCTTATTACAGTAACCCGGCTCCCAAGTGCCTTATTACTCCGTAACATCTTATTACAGGAACCGGCTCCTGAGCGCCTTATTACCCCGTAACATCTTATTACAGTAACCCAGCTCCTGAACGCCTTATTACCCTGTAACGTCTTGTTACAGTAACCCGGCTCCTGAGCGCCTTAATACCCTGTAACGTCTTGTTACAGTAACCCGGCCCCTGAGCGCCTTATTACCCTGTAACATCTTATTACAGTAACTCGGCTCCTGAGCGCCTTATTACCCTGTAACAGCTTATTACAGTAACCCGGCTCCTGAGTGCCTTATTACCCTGTAACATCTTATTACAGTAACCCGGCTCCTGAATGCCTTATTACCCTGTAACATCTTATTACAGTAACCCGGCTCCTGAGTGCCTTATTACCCTGTAACATCTTATTACAGTAACCCGGCTCCTGAGTGCCTTATTACCCTGTAACATCTTATTACAGTAACCCGGCACCTGAGCCTTATTACCCTGTAACATCTTATTACAGTAACCCGGCCCTGAGTGCCTTATTACCCTGTAACATCTTATTACGGTAACCCGGCTCCTGAGTGCCTTATTACCCCTGTAACATCTTATTACAGTAACCCGGCTCCTGAGTGCCTTATTACCCTGTAACATCTTATTACAGTAACCCGGCTCCTGAGTGCCTTATTACCCTGTAACATCTTATTACAGTAACCCGGCTCCTGAGTGCCTTATTACCCCGTAACATCTTATTACAGTAACCCAGCTCCTGAGCGCCTTATTACCCTGTAACATCTTATTACAGTAACCCAGCTCCTGAGTGCCTTATTACCCTGTAACATCTATTACAGTAACCCGGCTCCTGAGTGCCTTATTACCCTGTAACATCTTATTACAGTAACCTGGCTCCTGAGTGCCTTATTACCCTGTAACATCTTATTACAGTAACCCGGCTCCTGAGTGCCTTATTACTCCGTAACATCTTATTACAGTAATCCGGCTCCTTAGCGCCTTATTACCCTGTAACGTCTTATTACAGTAATCCGGCTCCTGAGCGCCTTAATACCCTGTAACGTCTTGTTACAGTAACCCGGCCCCTGAGCGCCTTATTACCCTGTAACATCTTATTACAGTAACTCGGCTCCTGAGTGCCTTATTACCCTGTAACAGCTTATTACAGTAACCCGGCTCCTGAGTCCCTTATTACTCTGTAACATCTTATTACAGTAACCCAGCTCCTGAGTGCCTTATTACCCTGTAACATCTTATTACAGTAACCCAGCTCCTGAGTGCCTTATTACCCTGTAACATCTTATTACAGTAACCAGGCTCCTGAGCGCCTTATTACCCTGTAACATCTTATTACAGTAACCCGGCTCCTGAGTGCCTTATTACCCTGTAACATCTTATTACAGTAACCCGGCTCCCGAGCGCATTATTACCCTGTAACATCTTATTACAGTAAGTAACATCTTATTACAGTAACCAGCTTCTGAGCGCCTTATTACCCTGTAACATCTTATTACAGTAACCCGGCTCCTGAGTGCCTTATTACCCTGTAACATCTTATTACAGTAACCGGCTCCTGAGTGCCTTATTACCCTGTAACATCTTATTACAGTAACCTGGCTCCTGAGCACCTTATTACCCTGTAACATCTTATTACAGTAACCCGGCTCCTGGGTGCCTTATTACTTGCATCGTTAAAGGGACGGGGCCTCCAGGAACTAGGCTGTTAAATGCCCCC